CTAATAAAACGTGTTTTTTGAGACGTGCACGAGCCCAGTTCTCCTCGTGCACGCTCTGTCGGCATCGCTCACACAATCTCACTTTCCATATCGATTTGCACTTTTTGCACTATGTCAGACAGTATAGACGTAGATAACTTTTACTAGACGTGATTTGATGATGGTTTTCCTCAAATAGAATGCCAAACTTTACCTGTTCAGTAGAAATTTTTCGACTGAGGCGTCAGTGGGAAGCCCAAAGGTTGTGTGAAAGAATCTCCCAAAGAAAACCCTGGTCTTGTTTGACGAGCACGTACACCGGCCTTATGTCACATATCCATCCATCCATCCATCCATTTTCTTCCCCTTAATCCATTTCTGGGTCGGGGGGGGTGGCAGTCAGAGATGCACCCAGTACACTTAGCACCAGCCCCTCACTGATCCTCCTGCAGGTGGTGAGTCCACAGGAGCTGAGATCTTTCAGTGGGAGCTTCAGGCAAAGTGGGGTTAAGTGTCTTGCCCAAGGACACAACGACAGCAGTCATCAGTGGGAGTCGTGAAGTAGGTCTTATGGTGGGCTTGAACCCACAACCTTCAGGCCCAAAGGCCAATGCTCTACCAACTGAGCTACTGTCGCCCCATGTCACATATCACCCGAATTATTGACAATTCCAATAGTCTTGATGAAAAGATAATCCTCCTATATACCGTTTAGTTAAAGCAAATACATTTTGAAGAGGAATTTCAGATTTTTTTGGTTGTTTATATTGAAATGAAAAATCTAACATGCTTTGAGCTCTATCCAGAAGGCGATGTACTGGGACAACATGCATTTATCCATCCATTGAGTATTTTCATTCAATATCTGGCTCCCCACGCCGCAGTATACGCTTGTATTCTCTGTGGCCTTCAGCAGCGCTCTTATTCATGAGTTCACATCGTTGTTAAACTCAAGTTGCTTTGAGTGTTTCAAAGAACTCACTTTTAAATCAAATCAGTGTCAAATAACACTTTACAAATTATCATTTAACAATCCGCTGTGTTTGTACCAAGTAACATTTCACAACACTTCAGAATTCTACAACCATGTCATTCCAGAGCTGACTTGCTGCTGAGGGTCTTTTCTAGGAAGAGGATGGCACTTTGCCTTTCTCCCTAAAGTTTTGAAAGGCCTTTGTGGGTATAACTAAGATTACGAGATCCTTTATTTGTCCCACAGTGGGGAAATGTCAGTGTTGCATCACAAGTTACAGAACATTAGGAATGAGGAGCACACAGCACACAAATCACTGTACTATTTAAAATGAAATAAAAACTCTAGCATCAAAGACAAGTATAAAATCTCTATCTTTAACATAATAAAGAAGCAAGTAGTACTGTGTATTCTAGTGCAAAACATACTAAGGGTTTTTTGTTTGTTATTTAGTTGATTGGCCTCAAAAATCCTGATGTATCTCTAAAGTCAAGTCAAAAGTCTTTGCCCAGAGCATGATCTCTACTCTGCACTACAAGCTCTTCACCCTCAAAGCTGTCTTATGTAACTCATTATAAACAGTGCTAACTCCAGAGCCCTGGTTAACAAGCACGAGGTGAACCAGTGAGTGCTTTTGGCCCAGCGCTCTTCCTAACCCACCTGGCAGCGCTTTAAGTAGATAATACTCTTGTAAATGGAAAGCTTGAGTACGTCTGAGTAATGCTGTTAAGACTGAAGAGAAGTTCGGGAGAATTAGGGTGTGAAATAAAGCTATTGAGAAAAGAAATGGGCGAGCAACAAACAGCCTGCATGGAATGGACGGGTTAGGATAGTGTAAGTGTAAACAGTACATGTGTTTTGGTGAGCTGCAGCAAGGAATGCCTCTCAAGATAAGGCGTGGGGTAAGAAGGACTGTAGAGCACCACAGATTCTATTGAAATATTTAATCATATTAATATCACGGCTAACTCACAATTAATCAAACCCCTCTCCCTGTTATAAATGTCCCTTGATTTGGTTTGGATGAAGCGAAGAGCTTATATTAATCCAATCCCCTCCAAAAAGAAAGTATTTGGATTGTCTAATAGAGGCTCCACATTTCTAGAACACTTGTATTAAACATTGTTTGACAGTGTTTTTCTTTCAAGTCTTGAGTCTGACACAGAGACCATGAGGACAAACACATACATTTGCTTGTCGCTGCTGTATAGCAGTCCTCTGGTATAAATAATGCGTTAATACTGTAAAATGTATTTAATTAGTGCTGTCAGTGAAGCACGTTTTAGTTTTTTTATGTCATTCCTTGCCGATGTCTAAGGACGGTAATGATCGGGGAAATTTTTGGCATTTTATCAGAATCAGAATCAAAATCATTTTCATTGCCACGTAAGTAACAAACAAAAGTTACCACTTGGAAATTGCTTTGGCAGAGAGCGTGCCACTTCGCCATTTGCGGCGCTGTATTTGTTTGTATTTATTGTATTTTCCTGTGTTTGATTCTCTAATCTGTCAACAAACAACAGATAAGAGAAAGTCAGTTTGTAAAGTAAAAATTAAATAAATATATGCATAGTTTTCTAGCCATCTTCATAAAATGAAGATGGCGTTGTTGTGGTCTGATTTTTACAAGACACTTCCTGTTGGGACATGTAGAGTTTTTAGAAAAAAAAAAATTGAGTACCCCGACTTTAAATAATGTGTTTGATCAGACAAACTCACGTTGGGTAATGTATAACCAATTATATTATTAGTAGTTTAAATAATGACGGTTTAGGTTGGCTAATCAGATAAATGCTGTGTATACAGGCCAAATAGCCAAAAAAAAATACAAGCCCATTAAAATGTTTACATAAATACTTAAAGAAAAGCAGTGGAACAGTGATGTAGAGGAGGAGAGGGATGCAGCTGTAACACTGAGGGTAGAGTGGTGTTAATTATATTTTAACTTCTCATCTTTGTGAATGGGAGAGGTTTTTTTGCACAGCCCTTCTACTACTAAATAATTCATCCTTAGGCCCATTGTAAAATGTATTATAAATATGCATCTCCACCCTCACCTTAGTCCTGCAGCTGGCCCTTTTTACAGACAGATCTGAATAGTAATGATGCAGGCATAACCTCCTTTGTGTGCGCGCGGGACTAACTCTGTTTCTGAAGCCGTTGATGACAATGACCCGGTCCATACGTACACAGGGCGAGCACAAACCTGCGCACGAACCACAAACACACCGTCTCCACAAACACACCGTCGCCATCTGATCCACAAATAGTGTACATTACGTCATCGCACTGTAATTGTTTGAAACTGGCCAAAGTCTGTCCCTGTGCCCTCCCTCTCTCCCCTCTCTCCCGCCTCTCCCCTCTCTCCCCTCCTTCCCCTCACTCCGCTCTCTCTCCTCCCCCCCTCTCTTGATACTGGCCAAAGTCTGTCCCTGCACCCTTCCTCTCTCCTGCCTCTCCCCTCTCCCCTCACTCCCCTCTCTCCCACCTCTCCCACCTGTAAACCATCCTACACTTTTTTTGTGATTTGTCTTGATTACTTTTTAAAAATTAAAATAATGTTTGAATCATTTTGTAAATGTCATAATGTTTGACATACCCTTTGACAAAACATATTTCTCATTTGAATAACATTTTTTTTGTCATTGATTTTTAAAACTTATATTATGAAGCTATAGGTTGCAAACAGTGGATGTACAAACAAGGGGACCTCTGCACTGCATTATTATTATGTCGGTCAACATAGAAATTACAATACAATATACAGTTGTATTTTTTGCACACATAGTTGACTACTGAGACAACAATATTTTAAACTCACACAATTTTTGCACAGTATGTTATTGCCATTTTCTTTTATAAACATCGCAACAGAAATGAGCAATTCCTGCTTTAGTAGATTATCTTCAATGTGCACATTTTAAAGATGTGCCAGAACAGTGACTGACAAATTTATGGAAGGCCTGACAGGAGACCTGCCCTGGGGCACACTGACAGAAGCGAGGCAACCAGTGCACCAAACTGTCATTGACGTACACAACGACAGTTTGGTACTTTACAGCCGCAGTTGCCCCACTGTGGCACCTGGTGTTTCCACAGGTCTCCCATCACACTACTAACCCAGGGCCTGCTCTGCTTAGCGTCAGAGGTCTGAGGGAATCTGGCTTTCGCATGCAGGTCTGGCAGGTCTAGTGAATGGCTCTGGGCCTGTGATGCTAACCTTTCTGAAGCAGCGTGTTCCTCGTCCATAGGCACACTGAGCAAGTTGTAACAGGGCGCGTATAGAATTCTGAGGCGTGCAGTGACTTGGAGCTAATATAAGAGCAAACATGACCAGCTTTGGACTGTGGAGCGAGACTTTTCTACTTTTTAGAGGAGGTTCCATGAGCCAACAGCACAGCAGGTTTTTCTCACTCACATTTCATTTGAAAGCAAAAACAAGCATAACAACACTTTAATAAATTAAAGGTAAATGTTTAACCATTTGTGTTTACGATTAATCATCATTTTAGAAGGTCAGGATTAGTTAAGCGACAGTGGCTCAGTTGGTAGTGCATTTGGTGAAGGTTATGGGTTCGAGCCCATCATGAGACCTACTTCACAACTCCGACTGATGTCTTCTGTTGTTGTATCCTTGGGCAAGACGCTTAACCCCACTTTGCCTGATGCCCCCACTGAAAGATCAAGGCTCCTGTGGACTCACCACCTGCAGGAGGATCAGTGAGGGGCTGGTGCTAAGTGTACTGGGTACAGCTCTGACTGCCACCCCCCGACCCAGAAATGGATTAAGGGGAAGAAAATGGATGAATGTTCAATCAACATTTAAAAAAATGCAGTTATGTTAATATCCAATATAACTTCTATCTGCACGATAGAATAGCCGACTATTCGTTCTACTTCCGGTAACAAAGCTGCTGTCAGCCGGCACATGATGGTGTCACTGCAGCTGTCATTGAGGCTGGTATTGGCCCCGACACTAAAACACCAGCACAGGTCTCTGGAGCCCCTCATCCGCTCTCTAACCACTGGCACATTCTTTCTCCCACAGGCCAAGCCCATCTATGGAGGATGGCTCTGCCTGGCCCCCGAAGGAACAGACTTCGACAACCCCATGCAGAGGTCCAGGGTAAGGAAAACAGACTGTTAAGAGTTCACCATAGACAGAGGAGGCTTTAAAGCAGCTTCAACATGTTATTAATAGGGCCTGAACACAAATAAAAAACAAAAAATCAGTGGCTTTGTAATTAATTAATCTAGACTAATTTCATTTTAATTGCACTTATATTTATTTTACCAGGATTTTCAGTATACCAATGTAATGACTGAATACAGACGCTTAAAGGCGCTATACCCGTTTCTGCAATGTTTGAATGTTTAGCACCGCCCCCCAACTCGCTCAATGGCTTCTCATTTCCCCTACGCTCTCATAACACAGAGCCACCTAGTTTTATTTGCGATCTGATACGTATGCTAACATTAGCATTAGCGCAACTTCTTGTAAGCTGTGCAACAATCACTGATGAAATGGTACTAAAGCAACACACTGCTAACACAATATATAAGTAAAAGAATACCGCTAGTTTCGCATCCAAATGTATTCATTTAAAACCTTAGAATATATTCTAATATTTAATTATAATTTGTTATAGAGCTCCTCAAAGCAGCAGCAGCAATTCTTCCGATCATTTTTTCTTGATAACAGAACTCTCAAACCAATAATGACCGAAGCCCCAATGCAATCTCTGTTTGTAATTCAGGTGTGTAAAATACTGCCATTACTCTGCAAGTACAACAAGCTATCAGCACCTGTCACTACACACTTGTCTGTGTAGAGAAGCCAACGGAGCTAGCGGAGCTAGCCACGCTCAATAAACAACTACATATCAATCAATCAACACCATTAAACGTCAATCGGACAATACAGTACACATATACATCCTTAACACACATGCACGGATGATTTCAGAATTTGCTGTTACTGTTTTCATGACAAAAATACTGTTTCAAGGTGACAAAAAGCGATTGCGAAAAACCCGGAAGTTACCATGAAACAACTAGCTAGCTTAGGAGCTAACTATTTTATTTGCAGTCATTAAATACATTTCGAATTACAAGGGTTGTCTAATATTTGTTCAAATTTTTTTATTCAATTATTTTGTTCATCATTTTTTATTTGAGAATTATATTCGAATTTTGAAGTCGAAGCGCTGGTGTTAAGCAGCGCTGTAGAGGCTAGAGGACGCAGGCTGTTCGCTGCTCGTTCTGTGAGCGGAGGAGAAAGAGCGGCCCGCTCAGACTCTACTCAGCACTTTTCACTGCTTGTAATTCTTACATAGCTGAATCAATTACCTCAAGTTTTCAATAAAATGATGTATTATGATACAACTTGTATGTAGTAAAAAGCATTTTTATGAACTACTTAGAAAAAAAATCGGGTATAGCTTCTTTAAACTACAAAATGTTTTATTTTTGTCCAACCATGTCCAGCAGACCAGTGAAACTTTTTCCTTTCAGTGTAGCAATAGCATGTTTAGAAAAATAATACATTTTGCAGGCCCTTATCTTCTGGCACTCAGTCTACAGTCAATTGCAGTCCCGTGAGCCAGCCACTTAGAACCATTTCAGGCACAGAGGCACAGAAGCATCGATGTTAAAATCGTCACAGATTTGGATCCGGGTGTTTTGCTGCCTCTCGAGAAAGAGAAGGATCGCTCTCTAACTAAAGGTTGAATGAATCAATGAAAAATATATTTGTGGGCCTTTGTATGGAGGCCAAATAGCACTGTAATTATGTTTTAAAGCAAAGAAAAGTCAAAAAGCGTTGTATGGGACCTTTAAAACAGTCACCTCGTGGAGTGTGGCTTGGGTGTGGGTCTTCGTACTTTCACATGTCTCATGGCTTCTCTCGGGTCTCTCTTGTCTCCTCCTGGTCCTCTCATGTTAAAGACATTTCGGCACATTCATGGTCATTTATTGATAGTCATCCTATGGACCAATGGCTTCTATGTAATTGTTATTATTGCATTTCGTGGGTTGAACTATTTGTATCAACAACTTAGGGTGTATTCAGACCTGCACATTTGCTCCACTTTAAACGAACCAGGATTCGTTTGGAACTCTGATCCGAATCTTTTATGCAGGTCTGAATACACACAAACGAATCCTGGTCCGGACCAAAGAACCGAACCGAGACCCACTTTTTGAGGTGGTCTCGGTCCGCTTCCAAACGAATTCTGGTCCAAGTCGAATCAGGTCTGAATACATCCGGTGTCGATCCGACACAACTCCAAGATACGTGCGCATTTTTTGGGCTTAACAAGCCGCAGACAGAAACTGAGGAATTAGCCACGCAGCGGCTAACTATGCTGCTAACGCTTGTTATAGAATTACATACCCCAAAGCAAGGAGAAAGCCCAAAAGTATTTGTCTTAATTCAGGAGCGTAAGTTTATTGTAACACACGTGCGGAGAGCCAGCATATACAAAAGAAGGCAGCATATCCCAGCTCTGACTCGCAGAGCTCAGGCTTCCTGTTTACATAGACATCACATGAAAGACAGTCACGCCCACAACAGATGGGAGGGGGCCACCGGTGCAGGAGGCGCATAGGGAGAGGCGCCATCCCCTGTGGTGACAGTGGCATGGATGTGCGAACAGATTGACAATGGTGGAAATGCAAGCATACAGATGCGAGATGCGAAAGACACAAGGGTGTGACAGACAGCAGGGACCTTCACAAAGCTCAGCATGGCGTCAGAAGGTCGTCTCTACATTGAAAAGGCCTTTTACGTCCGTGTATTTGCTGCGGCTGGTTTTAATGTGATTACTCTAAAAACTGTCATTACACTCCCCTCTTTTGATAATTCAAAACCATTTTTGCATTAATCAGTTAAATACCAGAGGCATCGTAATCACATCACCTTCAAGCTTGAAACACTTAAATTATTGCTGTCCAAAGTGGACAAGAAAAGAAACATGCTTGTCAATAAAAGAAAGAGCACATTATAATAACACAATGGATCCGGACAGCGATAAGAGAAGACAATATTAACATAATAAACACGGTCAGCACGGAAAGTAGTGTCAGTGTGGCCAGCATAACAGTCCAAGGGCCCATGCCGGTCTTAGCCGGGCTACGTTCGGTAGTCTTTTCCGCGGGAATACTCACGAGCAGTGCCGTCTCGCAGTCAGTGGCACCGCTCCCTATGAGCGTGTGTGGAGCGTTAGTGGTCATGGCGATGTTTGGTCTTGGAGCGGCAAGACTCTAATTGCGTTGAAGCCTTGGCCTCAGCACTCGGTTGGGCAGAGTGCTCGGGGTTTGGGGTGTGGAGACCATGGCTTGAGCACGCTCCAGATCGGCCAGGCCCAAAGCTCGTTTGATGGGAGACCTCATGACGGCACGCTTCACCATGTGCCTCATCAGGAACTGTAGAGCAGCCCTCATCTCCACCTCCTCCGGACACACGGGAGACGAGACACCAGGGGGCACTCCAGCAGAGCTCAAATCTGCATTATGGCCAGAGGGAGCAAGCTCTGGAGAAATCTTTGGAATGGGCAGCAGCTCTGCATACTTGCTGTAGCTGAGCAGAGCGCTCAGGGCCTTCATGGCTCCCAAGCCTTGGGATCCGGGGGCTGGGGAGTTGGGCAAAGGGGGGTCGCCTCGGGAACGCTGGGATTCTCTGGGTGTTGTTGTTGGCCTGCTTCACCGACGGTGGTCGCACGCCGGCCGACTTCTTCAGCGTAGGGAGCCGCGGATGGGCCTGGTCCGTCCGCGCCCTCGGTGTCCTCGTCTATGGCCCTCAGTGGCAGCACCGCCCGACAGTGGTTGGCGTGGATCCAAGTTGTCCTCTCCGCGACCTTAACGGCAGTGTCCGTCACCAGGAGGACGAGGAATGGGCCGAGCCAGCGCTTGGACCGCCAATGCTTTCGTCTCGTTTCCTTCACCAGGACTCAGTCGCCTGGCTTGATCTTGTGCGGAGCCGCCTGCGCAGCCTGTGGCAGGGCGCTCCTGACCTGGGCAGAAACAGAGGGCAAAAGTGCATTAATTTCCTTACAATAGGACAGCATGTCGTCATCACACAAAGAGGTGCTTGGCAGATCTCTGTTCGGGGGTCCCGCGCCCAAGTTGGGTGGTCTGGCACAGAGGATTTCGAATGGGACTCTCATGCGCATGTACATGAGTGCCATTCTCTCGCTCGCACGCGCCTCGGCTCCAGGGGGCGTAACTGCAGTGTTTACGTATATCAATGCCCAGAAATTCACCCACTTCCTCAATGACTTTTGCTACAAAGTGACTGCCATTGTCACTAGAGATTTTCCCTCGGGACACCCCATCGTGGCACAATTTCTGTGAGCAGAGCTTTCACCACCGCGTTGCTCGTGGCGTGTTTGCATGCAAATATTCAGTCCATTTGGACCAGAGATCCGCCAGACCCAGACAGTATTTCTTACCTTGGCATGGTGTGAGTTCAACAAAGTCCCTTTGGACATGTTGAAATGGGCGCAGGGGCGGAGGATGAGCAGCCTGTTGGATACTTTTGGGACTTACCTGGGTTGTGCGCGAGGCATATAGCGCATGTTTGGCAGAATCTCTGTGCAAATGCCGTAAACCCCTTTGTATACCAATTTTGTGTGATTAAATCACACATCCCTCCTTCTGTGGCATGGTCTCGACCATGTGCTAAAATTGCAAACTGTCTGAAGAAATGCCGTGGTAGGCACGGTTTGCTGTCTGGTCCCAGCCACACACACCATGCCGTCGTTGAGCCCCATTCCCCTCCCACAGCAGCGTCTCTGCTGGAGTAGCCAGTGTCTGCATCGCTGACAGAGAGGAGAAAATATCAACGTCTTGAGTGAGGTAGTGTGTGTGTGTGTGTGTAGAGGTGCGTATGCCGCTGCCTTGTCCGCGCGCCGATTCCCTGCAGAGATGGGATCAGTGGCATTAGTGTGGGCCTGGCATTTGCGTACATCGATCTCTAAGGGCAACATTACAGCTTTCAGCAGACGTTCAACCTGTGTGGAATTAAGAATTGGTTTACCATCAGATTTCATGAAATTGCGGTGTTTCCACAGTGCCCCCCAGTCGTGCACCACAGAGAAACCATAGCGCGTATCACAGAATATGTTAACAGTTTTTCCCGCTGCCAGCTCACAAGCCCTGGTGGGCGCGACCAGTTCAGCGGTTTGTGCTGAATGGTAGTGGGGCAGACTACCAGAGTCTATAATATCAAAATCAGAACACACAGCATAGCCGACTCGGTTCTTCCCAGTGTTGTCACGTGACGCGGCTCCGTCTGTATAAAAAAATCAAGTCAGGATTAGTCAGAGGCACCTCTTTCAGGTCTGGCCTGGGAGTGCATATCTGTTCTATTGTGGCGATACAGCAGTGTGCCTCCCCTTCCTCTGGCGTGGGCAGCAGTGAGGAGGGGTTCAGCTGTGTGCATCTTTTCACCGTGACATTGGGGAGTTCAAAGAGCACCGTGTTGTATTTCAGCCAACGAGCCGCAGAAAGGTGAGAGGTTTTCTGCTCTAGCAGGATCAGGGAAACAGCATGGGGCACAAGCAAAGTTAGTTCAGTGTATCCCACAAGGTCACGTGATGCTAGGGCCGCTTTCTCAGCGGCAGCCACAGCCCGCAGGCAGCGAGGCAACCCTGCTGCCACGGGATCGAGTTTTGCTGAGAAGTAAGCAGTGGGTCTCAGTGGCCCTCCGTGAGACTGCAAAAGTACCGACACCCACACCGCTCATCCACAGTCTGAGTGAATGGCCGTTGGGTCAGGGAGACCTAGTGTGTGTGTGTAGATTTGCTGTTCCGTTCATCTCCAGTTGCTTTTCTCCCGGATCGTCCTCAATTCATATTGTGGGCTTTGGTGCCAAGGTAGAGGCTCATTTCCTCATGATCCATACTACTGTCATCCCTGAAGCAGGGGTAGTTTATCTCTCATCTGAAAAAGAAATATTAGAACACAAAAAACTTTAAAAAAATTACACGCTACACAACAACAATGAGCCGTGTGCAGACCTGGAGCAGTGAGGAGACGCTGTGCAACAGGCTTATGGAGTTAAAACTGTTCACAGTATACAGTGATGTTAATGGCAGCATCTTCAAACCATTTGCATTATTAAAAGCCTGACGTGTTTGACTCACGTCTCAAAGAGCAATATTCTGCATCATGTAGCTAGTGAATTGTGTTCTTTGGTTCCTACCTGATCCTCAGCGTCTGTTTGTCCCGTGGTTATTATAGATCCATGGTTTATCCACGATGCTGCTGTCAGTAAGTTGTGGAACAGGGTTATAATAGATCCATGTGTGGCACAGGACACGGAGCGCAGACTGTCTCCTTCGGCTTTCTCCTCACGCATTCTCCGACGCTGTTCCAATATTTAAAACAACGTGTTTCGCCTGTGTCATATGAGCTGCTGTTGATGTTGAAGGTGGTTTTGCTCTAAAAAGAGCAGACATAGGCAGAGCAGACTGCTGCACATACGAGCCCTCAATGTTTTCTGCCGGTTCCACGTCTATCCTCCGTGAGCTCTCGCTGTCCAATAGGAGCGCCGATCGTCACACGTGTCAATATGTTTATATAAAAAAGTTCACTTGCAAAAAAGGACAGTCTGAATACGAACCGGAGCAAAAGAAAAAAGTTTGGTCCGCTTTTGATTCGGATCAAGCAAGCGGAGCAAAGGACTTTTCAGGTCTGAATACACCCTTAGTGAAGTTCTCTGAGATGACTGCTGTTGTGATTTAGGGCTATACAAAAATAAATGTACCAGAAATTGATTTTAATGTGTCTTTAGCCTGACAATTTGGGGCCTACAGGCTTGTTGTAATGGAAAAGTCCTTTATAAGAATGTGTTACAAGCAGCAGTGGCAAGAACAATTTGTTGATTATAGAGTTTATTGGCAACCTTCGGTGCCGAATATTGGCACCAAACAATTTGCATTTTTACAATGCCATTAGGAGGAACCAACCCTTTTTCCGTTTGTTCCTCCTTGGAACCGCTAAACACTGACCAGCCCAAGCAGTGAGTGTGGAATTTGCTATTTCTTCATGGATTTACTGGACTTTTTGTAATACTGGAAAGAGAAAACCGTGGTAAAGTGGAAAAGCAAGAAATAAGCAAAGATTCAAAGAAATTTATTATTGTGTAGCCCTAAATCAAGGATAGGGCACAGGAGGAGAAAAGGCACCTCAGCATTTCAGCGTGTCTACAGAATTACTGTTGACAAACTGTCTGACCAATGGTCTTGGTGTTTAATATACTAGCGCACAGCTCATCAGTAACGTAAGCAGCCAGCAGCGTGGTCGGCCCAGTTTCCTGTTTTACCTCAATCTTCTCCTGCTTGCATTACCAGACAAACTTTATCTACATACTTCATCTAGCTTATCATAACAGCTGTATTTTTTACATAAGCTCTTCTTTTTGATTGAGTCTAGCTTGATGACTCTACGTATCTTTGCAGAAATGGCAGAGGAGATTCTTCGTGCTCTACGAACATGGCTGCCTGCGCTTTGCACTGGATGAGTCGGTAAGTTGAAAATTGTTTTAATTAAAGACGATGTACAGTTCGAGAATAATGCAATTTGTTTGTCCCGACAGTGATAGTCTGGCAAAAGCCAATTTTAGCATGACAGCACTTATAAACTTTCTTGCTTCGGCCTACTCCTTTTGAGTTATTTCATAACAGTGTAATCATGTCCATCCATCCATTTTCTTCCCCTTGACCCATTTCTGGGTCGGGGGGTGGCAGTCAGAGGAGCACCCAGTCCACAGAGCACCAGCCCCTCACTGATCCTCCTGCAGGGGGTGAGTCCACAGGAGCCTTGATCTTTCAGCTGGGGCTTCAGGCAAAGTGGGGTTAAGCGTCTTGCCCAAGGACACAACGACAGCAGTCATCAGTGGGAGTCGTGAAGTAGGTCTCGTGGTGGGCTTGAACTCACAACCTTCAGGCCCAAAGGCCAATGCTCTACCAACTGAGCCACTGTTGTGTAATCATGTAATGATGCAAACTATGTTTGTAAAAGAATTCTCAAATTAATAATAAATACATTTGGGAAAAGTATAAACATTAAACAAAGCACAATTCTGAAAATGACCTTCAACCCCTTCTATGTATTGGTATCTGAGCCACTTACCCTAGCTAAGCTCTTACCCAACTAAATTAAAGGATTTTAATTTAGAAAACCATTAATGAGATTGCACAACTTTTATCAAAATTGTGTGACTTTCATCAAAATATTTCCCCCCGAATTCTAGTTACATTTGAAAACATTTACAGAATAGGAAGTAGAAAATGTAATCTTTAAAATGAAACATTCTTGAATCTCTAAGATGAATCCATCTTGTCTTTGGCCTGTTCATCATCTTATTCATCCATCACACAGACAGGTGGAAGGTGGCAAAAGCAACAGCAATCAGCAGAACCTGCTAATAACTGACCTATTGGTGTCAGAAGTTATGCTAGGTTATTTTGCTCTCGTCCTTTTCGACTGGCAGGGTTGGTCAATTCCAGTTGTGTACGCAGATTACCAGACTTTCAGTTGTGGCACTATGTCACATGTCACAGTCTTCTGCTGCTGGACACCTGAATTTTTCCTACAAGGAATCAATGAAGTATCTATCTATCTATGTGTGTGAAAGGACAATATATTGTTCACTTTGGGGATTAAACGTTGTAATTTAGCTTGAGGAACAGCTGCTTGTATTTAAAGGAAGTGTGTACATGGATATCTCATAAATACACCTTCAATTATTCAATTTGTTGCATGATTCCTCAGTGCCCCACATGGTTTTTGCGTAGTAGCCTCTGTTGCAGACTGTGGTTAAATAGAGTGGCTCGAGCCGTGTGTAACGCAGGAAATAAATCTTCAGTGTTCCAGAACACAATTTTGTGTGTGTGTTTCCAGTGACACCCTCTGCCTTTCCTCTGATTGTGAGACCGTGCTTCCCAAACGGTCCGCCTCATTGTGCTGAGCTCTTTTTATGTGTAGCTTAGCATAGGAGAATTGGGTCAGAGAAGGAGCCTCCGGAGAGGAACTGCATTCGCCCATCACCAACACTCTACACTTTACACACTGTTTGTGGCTGTGGGATGTATGTGTCGATGTGTTTTGGAACTTTCAGACTGTACAATAGACCCTTTCTTTCTGCAAACAGCTGGTGCACACTGGCGATTCATCTGTGTTTACTCGATCAGCTGTTCTGTTGGATTGAAGAGACCAAATCAAACAATTCGAGGATCGTTCATTGGTACCATCCCGCCATAAGTGTAGCTGAACATGGGATCTAAGATGTTTTAATGCAGAAGTTCAAAATGTTAGTGCACAAAAAAAAAAAATCTCATCCTAAACCTAATTTTCTATTGCTAATAATAGTAATAATTAGTTATAATTAGTTTTCATTTCAGTTTAAGGAAAACTCTTATTCCTGTATTCCCACTATAGTGTTTGAGACTCGGAAAACCAAATGTGTTTTTGTTTGTGAACCACATGTCTAGAATCAAGTAGCAAGTTCAGGAAGGTTAAACTTGACAGAAAGTGAACAAATTTCTTCATGAGGAGACGGGTCAAATCCAAATCATGTGTAAAGTACATTTTAGCGTTGTTAATGTAAGATAACCTTGATGGTGAGAAGTATAATCTATTATTATTAAAAGTAATCTAATCAACTAGAATCATTGTGTCATTTTAGTAAAAGGAAAGATTTGACCCTAATACAGAAAAGACTGCTGTTTTGAGTGACGGCTACTTAAGAGTGAACACATGGAGAACCTGGTCCTCAAGGCTGACGTCAAGTCTTCTACCAGGGAGGCTGCGGGGTGCTATCTCTCTGCTGTACAAGAGGAGAGCCTGTCCACATGTCCTTATTTGGTGAACTGCAGCACCACACGGACTCCCAGAACCAAGCTCAATTCCTTCCCAGACATTCCAGAGAAAACCAAAACGCCTGATTTTGGCCGCTAATGGATTGCACCGTTTTCAACAGCAGTGAAGCAGTAATGGAGCTGGAAGGGGGACGCATTGTCACTAATTTATATTTTGTGTGCTTGAAACAGTTTTACACAATTGTTGTAAAAATAGACCTGGAGTTATTTTTTAGCTCCGTCCATCCACACTAACGTTTTAAAAACTCTTATGCCGAATCCCCCACTGACCCAAGGACTGAGCTCTTATCAAATTACCCTCTTCACAACTGCGTGTCTTCAATTAGATTTAGATCTATCTGGCAAGTGTTGCACATTCTAGCTTACTGACTGCATTTTATCAATGTTTTATCCATATAATTTTTGATCAACAAGTAAATATATTCATTACACTTTTGGACTAACATGAACACAAATATTGTATTTACAATCCTCTTTAAGGCTCTGCAACTTGTAGAGAAGTTAAGTGATGGGAGAAGGAGACCACCCTGGAAGCACGGGAAGGGGTTACGACCTTGATTCCACAAACTCAACATCCACTTCTGTCCCGTAAGCATCACGAGGGAAACTTCCATTTATAGTGCCGTCCGTTGTGGAAAACTTGTGTCATCGGTTGTTTATCACATTGTACATCACTCCATAGTCCATTCACTTTTCCCAAGGGTCATCTCCACTCAACAATTGCACAAGTCTGTTTTGGGATTTAACAACATACAGTGCCTTGTGAAAATATTAATACAGCTTGAACTTATGCAGATTTTTCTTCTTCTGAAACTTCACACACAATTGACGGATTACTGTGAAGTGAAAGCAAAATGATACATGATTCTGTAATATTTCAGACAATAGAAGCTTGACGAAAAGAAGGATTCATACTGCCTCTTTAGGGTATGACTCTACAAGATTTGCACTTGTAGAGACAGAAAATTTAGGCCATTCCTCTTAACAAAACAACTGGAGCTCTGTCAATTTAGATGGACAGATTTTCTATTGGATTTTGGTCTGGACTTTGACTAGGCCATTCTAACACATGAATATCTTTTGTTTTATACCATGGGCAAAAAAAGCACCTTCCTCATGGTAGCTGTGTCCCCCATATGACGTCTGCCAAACTTGATGATTTCTTATGACCTTCTATCATAATGACTGATAGTTGTCCCATGTACAGAATCCCCCAACTCAGTGGCAGTGCCTCACAGCTCTTCCAGAGTCATCTTGGGGTTTGATCTGTTAGTTTAGGTGGACTGACGCGTCTTGGTAAGTTTGCAGTGGTACTATACTATTTCTATTTGCAAATGATGGACTGAACAGTGCTCCGTGAGAGGTTCAAATTGTGGGAAATCTTGGTATAACTTAATGCTGCTTTAAACTTCTCCAAAACTTTATTCCTGACTTCTTGGGTGTGCTCCTTAGCCTTCATGATGCTTTTTAGTGACCAATTCACTCTATTTAATCATTTGGGCAAGGTTTGACCATTCAGCAGTCATTTGGAATGTTTTAAAGGCTTCAGAGGAAAGCTGTATGAAAACTTATGCATGTTCTGCTTTTCTACTTTTAAAATGAAATCAGAAACATGCATCACTTTAATTTCACCTCAGTTTTAGGGTTGTTAACAGGACAACATTTCCAAAAGGTCAAGATGCATTAGTACCATGTTACATCTCTCCACAATGGAATGGAAGACTAGGTGAATGAATGTGATTAAAATGTAAAATAATAATCTATGTTGCTGGTTACATAGTAAGGTGTGTGCTGCTGAAAAGCTTTTCGCTCCTAAGATAATTTCTCTATGTCTGAACTCGTCCAAAATACCCGCTGAATATACCGGAAGCCTACCATATCTGTAATGCGTAAAAGACAGGGCTTTATTAGGGCAAACTCTCTTAGCTTTACTTCATGCTGCTTTATTTGGTCTTGTACAGAATTTTCTCCCAACGTTTTGCTGTAATAAAAGAGTCAGGGATGGGGCCTGCGAATACCACGCTGTCTCATATCGTCCGCACATTTAACAGGCGTCATGAGCAGTGTTTGCCGGCTGTGAGAAAGTAGTCGGTCTTAATAATATCCCAGGGCTCAACTAAAAATAGCCAGGTCGTGGAAAGCGTACAATGGGAGGATACGGAGCAGTGCTAGGCTCTCAGAGTTAGCCTTGATCAGAATGGCCCCATTGTTTTTGTCCTAATCACAGTTAATGCGCTCGCAGCAACCCTCCGGTGCATTTCTGACCACGTAACCACGCTCCCTCTGTCTACACTCATATAGAGTTTCAACAGTATGAAACATTTAACTGACTGTTATTGTGATAAATCAGCACGGTTTTTGGTATTACCCTGGTATTTTTTCCTTAGCACATTTGCCTGTTCTCCCTGTGTTGTGAATGGGTTTCCCCATCACAAAAAATGTATACAATAGTTAAGGTTGAGTGTGTGTTTGTGCGTAAGACTGTGGGACAACGGATTGAAATGAGAAATTAATTGTAGATCAGATACTACTACAGCCTCGGATCCTTTTGACCTTACTTATAAATACAATTGTTTGTATTTGGGAAGCGTTACATTTTGTTCAGTGTAAAGTGATATTTGATATGGGGGGCAGAGAGGCTACAGACTTTGAGAACCACTGCAGTGTAGTATCAGGGTCATGGTGCTTCCACCAGCTGTGATGTTTGTGAGAAGTCCTTTTCCTGTCAATGCAGGATGTCTGAGCACAGGGGGGACATTGCTGAACCCTTTTTTTCCTTTAAACCAATGACTCTTGTGGGTGTTTATAAATGTCCTTTTCTTCTAATTATTTGATCTTCTAATCTGATGTTGGTACAATGATAATTCTATGACATCCTTCAAGATCACTGCTGTTGATTTTAAATGATTAAAAATACAGTTTTTCCACTTTTTGCTTATTTATTTTTGAGAATGAATTCCTTTGACTCTTGCAGACGCTGATTATGTGAAGTATGTGATTTGATTAGCATAGTGATTTGGTGATTCCTGCTATGGCTGGAGTCCGTAGCGGCCCATATTAGGCCAGTGCTGGAGGGGGTCAGACAGGTCCAGTCTCTGTGGAGCACAGTGGAGCACAGAGGCCTTAAAAGGCAGTTTTGGGGTAGTTTTATGCTAACGCGTAAGAGTACATGCTTTCTTATTAGTCACATTTCCCCAATTGTGTTTAGTTTAGATAGAAGGATAGAAGGAAAAAACGGGGTGGAACTATGTCTTGTTGGAGGCGCTGTGACACAATGGGACAATCGCAACTTCCGTGTAGATATTTACTGGACATGCTCAGGAGATGTTGCTGTAATAGCGTTCATAGACTCACTCGCTTCAGCAGAACACAACACTGTACAGCACCAGTGTTAGTTCATGTGTCCCGAATCCCTTGTGTGTTTATTTATTCATTTTTTTCCTTTTTAAATTTCTATTTAAACACAGAAGATGGCGGTGGCTGGGATCAGGGCTGTGGGGAGATGACAGGTGTTGGTGGTGATGACGGTGAGGATAGGTTTAAACAAATGGATAGAAAATGGGAAAGAATAAAAATGTGATATTTTATGATAAGCAAAATATGATTGGAGATTAAGCTATATGTAAATGATGTTTTTTTCCTGAATAGAGACTAAGAGTGGAAGTCAACGTGTTTGTTTTTCTTGTCCTCTTGTGATGTGTGTGGCTCTGTTGATAAGTGAAAGTGTGTTATGAATAATGTCCATGTTTCATCGAAGGCTGATGTGTGCCCCTTCTGTAAGATGTAAAACTATTTTTGCGTTCAGGCCTGAATTTGACTTTGAGTGGACAGGGCTTTAGACTCATTGTGAAAGATCATAAATCACACAAGGCCGTATCACAACTCCTGTCTCCAGGAGGCTGTGTCTGGTCTGCCCCTCCTCCCTCCCTCATGGCCGCAGGAACTCTGTGTCTGACCTCTCCACTTTGTCCTTGTGTTTGTGTTTGTAGCCAAGCACTCTGCCCCAAGGAACGGTCAACATGAACGTATGCACAGACGTGATCGACGCGGAGCCCAAAACCGGCCAGAAGAACTCCCTGTGCATCATCACCCCCGAGCAGGAGTACTTCATCCGAGGAGAGAACAAGGAAATCATCAACGGGTATGCACACGTGTACCATGTGTACCATATACAATATACCTCTGCTCTCCCACACTTTATCAAACCAAGATCTACTTTTAAAGCAACCATTGAGCCGTGATTCATCTCAGATTTCTGTGATACAATTCAGATGATCACTTTTGATTCAATTCATGATGTATTTGTGAATCACAATAAAGTACCGGTAATGACCATGTTGTCTTTATTCATATTTAATTTATTGACTTAAATGAGCAGTTTAAAAAATGTGCTCATGAAAGTACACATTTATCTGCCACAACATTTACAGTATGATTGTGAGTAGTGTTTCTCATGTTGTAAATGTCAACTGCTCAATTCAATTTATTTATTCTTGCATTGACCTAAATCACAACAGTAATTTTCTCTGAGGACATTACAAAACCGTCAAATTGGCCAACACAGATCAGACACCCCAGCCTGCCTTTGTGGTTAGCTATTACGTTTGATGATGTTACATGGATGAGCCTGTACCAGTGAATCGCTTAAGCAATTACGATTTTTTTGTTAACGTGTTAAGGGTCAAAATTAAGAAATCATCCTTTAAATTTTACCAAAATCTTGAATCTAATTACTAAACATAGTGAAATTTATGTTGGATCATTGCAGGTGGAGTGAGCAGCTGTCAGTTTATCCTCGCACCAACAAACAGAACCAGAAGAAGAAACGCAAAGTGGAGCCTACGACGTCACAGGTACAGAATGCCGACATAGGTTTGTCTGCACACCCTGTTGGAACAGCCAAAGTGAGAAGCTTTACTGTAGGCCTTTAAGGAGTTCTACTGCTGGTTTTTGAGAGACATGTTTTCCTGTCCTAACAGACGTTGTGTCTCCAGACTCTGATATTGACATTAGCCTTGTTCATTATCTACTGGTTCTCCCTTCCTGGGGGTGCATTCTGTCTCCTCTTCCTTTTATTTAGTTTACAAATGAGTGTAAGAGTACCAATGAGAAGCACTGCTACTTGGTGACATTAGCCATGTGTGTGTGAAAATGCATGTGTGTGTGTATGCTTGCGTGTGTGTTACCAGCAGCGCTCTGGTCTTTGTACTTCTACATCATGTCAGTTCCACAATCCATCCAGCACAGACTCTTTTTAGATGAGACTTTACACAGGCTTTGTTTGTCCACATGTCTCATCATTATCAATGCAGCTACATTTCTGACATCAACCTCGACTTTCCCAAAAGAGAGAATTAAATTGATTTAAACAAATAATACCTAAAGCAATAGATAACTTACAAATAGATAATGTATTTATTTTAAAATGAAATTCATAACAAAGCTGAAGAGATATTTGGGTAAGTTCTATCATGGCCATTTTTAAGAAACTACTGACTTAGTTAGGTTTATTTATGTAAAGACGTATGTAATAGTTGTATTGAATAACCATTTAAGCTGTGGCAGAAGCCATTAGTAAACATGACAGAAAGTCTGTCATGTTCGTCTGCTCAGAACAACGCAGATCACAGCTTTTAACATCCAGGCAGAAAGCGAGGAGTGAGAGGAGAGGAGACAGGAAAGCAGTGAGAGTTGGGAGAGAAGTGCAGAGAGGTGAGTTTGGAGAGAGGAGAGGGCGAGAGGAGAGGGCGAGAGGTGATTACTCATTTAGTGAGTCCCATTTTGCATGTATTTTTTTATGCCTTGATGCTGCTCAAATAAAATCATGAATAAAAAAAATGTGAAAATGAATTGTGCAGGAGCCCGGGCCGGCAAAGGTGGCGGTCACTGGCTCGGGCATACCGGACGCTGAGATGGGCCCTGATTCCAGCTCCATCATCTGGCAAGAGGAGCTGAGCCAGAGAGAGGCCCAAGGAGGAGCAATGTGGGCCCCTGCTGAGTTGCCCTGCCCAGGTCAGCTTCACCTCCACTTTTCTATGCGATCACCAACTGTACATTCTTTAATTAGGACACTATGTATTCAAGAGAAGAGTCTGTTTGCACTGATTGTGCAAGTTCTCCCACTTAAAATAATGACAGAGGTCTGTAATTTTTATCATAAGTACACTCCAACTGTGAGAGACAGAATGTGAAAAAAAAAATCCAGGAATTCACATTGTAGGATTTTTTAAGAATTTATTTGTAAATTATGGTGGAAAATAGGTATTTGGTCACTTCAAACAAGGAAGATCTCTGGCTCTCACAGACCTGTAACTTCTTTAAGAAGCTCGTCTGTCCTCCACTCGTTACCTCTATTAATGGCACCTGTTTGAACTAGTTATCTGTATAAAAGACACCTGTCCACAGCCTCAAACAGTCAGACTCCGAACTCCACTATGGCCAAGACCAAAGAGCTGTCGAAGGACACCAGAAAAATAATTGTAGACCTGCACCAGACTGGGAAGAGTGAATCTACAATAGGCAAGCAGCTTGGTGTGATCAAATCAACTGTGGGAGCAATTATCAGAAAATGGTAGGCATACAAGACCACTGATAATCTCCCTCGATCTGGGGCTCCACGCAAGATCTCATCCCGTGGGGTCAAAATGATCATGAGAACGGTGATCAAAAATCCCAGAACCTCACGGGGGGACCTGGTGAATGACCTGCAGAGAGCTGGGACCAAAGTAACAAAGGTTACCATCAGTAACACACTACAACGACAGGGAATCAAATCCTGCAGTGCCAGACGTGTCCCCCTGCTGAAGCCAGTGCATTTTCAGGCCCGTCTGAAGTTTGCCAGAGAGCACATGGATGATATAGCAGAGGATTGGGAGAATGTCATGTGGTCAGATGAAACCAAAGTAGAACTGTTTGGTATAAACTCAACTCGTCATGTTTTGAGAAAGAGTTGCATCCCAAGAACACCATACCTACAGTGAAGCATGGGGGTGGAAACGTCATGCTTTGGGGCTGTTTTTCTGCTAAGGGGACAGGATGACTGATCCGTGTTAAGGAAAGAATTAATGTATTGTGAGATTTTGAGCCAAAACCTTCCATCAGTGAGAGCTTTGAAGATGAAACGTGTCTGGGTCTTCCAGCATGACAATGATCCCAAACACACCGCCCGGGCAACGAAGGAGTGGCTCCGTAAGAAGCATTTGAAAGTCCTGGAGTGTCTCCAGTCTCCAGACCTCAACCCCATTGAAAATCTGTGGCGGGAGTTGAAAGTCTGTGTTCACTGCTCTCGAGAAGATCTGCATGGAGAAATGAGCCAAAATACCAGCTACTGTGTGTGCAAACCTGGTAAAGACCAATAGTAATCGCTTGACCTCTGTTATTGCCAACAAAGGTTATATTACAAAGTATTGAGTTGAACTTTTGTTATTGACCAAATACCTATTTTCCACCATAATTTACAAATAAATTCTTTAAAAATCCTGCATTGTTTATTCCTGGATTATTTTTTTTTTCACATTCTGTCTCTCACAGTTGAAGTGTACCTATGATGAAAATTACAGACCTGTCAGTATTTTAAGTGGGAGAACTTGCACAATCGGTGGCTGACTAAATACTTTTTTGCCCCACTGTAGCTGTAGTAAAAGTAGAAAAAATAATTGTACGACTTTCTTATTCTTTTTGAGTTGTTAATGTGGCAGGCCCTTGTTGTTCAGGCTGTCTTAGCAAGAAATCATTGAACAGGCCTCAGCCTGTAATTTTAAAGAAATGGACAAATCGAGGAACTACTTAATTAGCGTTATGATGCACTATTGTACATGTTTGAGGGCAATACAAGTAATTACAGTACACGTTTTTCTGAAGTACTATTATACGGTGTTTCCATGCAGGTGACCTCAGTTCTGTGAACGGGGATGAAGTAGACCGCAGCAGCCACATCCTGAAGACTTATGCGCCCCAGCCCTCCAGTGACCCGCTGTCACCCACGGGCTCCTGTTCCAGCCTGGGAGGGGTGCCCCCCTGCCTATCCCCAGCTCCCAGTGACCCCTTCCCTTCAGGGAGCTCGCTGCTGTCCAACGGCTCCCACATCAGCGGCTCGCTCAGCTCTCTGGACTCTGACGCCAGCGGAGAAGGCCACCGGGGCCACCACCACCATGACACCCCCAGGGCCCGCAGACTGGAGGCCGAGGCCCGTAAGGCTGAGAGAAGGAGGGAGCGAGAGGCCCTCGTCAGCCCTGAGAGGAGGTCTGTGTACACACTGCAGATACCTGCTCTATATACTGTATGATTATTCATGTACTCTCTACCTACACATGCAACAGCTTACAACTTTAAAGACCAACTCCTAATGGAGCTCTGACCGTAATACTTGTTTTTTTATATGTTCATTGTAAATGTTTGTTAATAAACATCTTTGACTTTGTAGGATACTAATATGTTTAATATGAATTTCCTTAAAATCTAAATACAATAGTTCTGTGTCATTAATGTCATCTATTCAGTCCATTGGGTTTGTCTGAATGCAGTGGTCAGCAGGTCTATTATCTGGGTACACCTGTGTGCACAGAAAAAATAAAAAAATTTAATAAAAAAGTGAATAATAATATTCCGTTTTGTATTGTGCTTTTCATGACACTCAAAGACATTTCAGTTGCAAAAAGATTATTTTAAAAGAAATTTACTCACTCAAAGTAATGAATAGTAGTTAACAGCCCTTGCATCCTTCCCTCCAGCTATTCAGATGGGATTTTTGTGTGTGTCTAATAATAATTTTTGAATGATGCTCGTCTTTACATACTCTGATGCCTGGGTGGCCTTTAGAGCATTCACACATTTCTCAACAAAGCACCCTGTAAACTCCTGGTCTTTGAAAGTCGGCATAGCGGAGAGCACACAGTCTCCTCTGCACCCGTCCTAACTACAGTACTGTTTCTTGCTGCAGCCGCTCCGGTGTGATCGAGAAGCTGGAGGCTCTGGAGCTAGAAAACCAAGAGAACCAGGAAAAGATGGAGGTGGAGGAGGTGAAGGAGTCCAGGAGGGGCGAGGAGAGACGGGGCCGCAGCCAGCACAGAAGCTTCCACTCAGAGGTACTGTCACTGTCATCAGATTTAGTTTGTTTGCCATTTGCTGTAAAACCACTTTAGAATACATGTGCAAAAGTTCCCAATGTATATCAGAAAAATAAATAAAAATAAGTAAGTAATTAATAAGTAAAATTAGCTTATAAAAAAAAAGTACACTGCAAAAACTGAGTTAATTGCTTGAGTGTTTGAGAGTTGAGAGTTTATTTGAGTTGAGCAAATTTCATCAATTATTTTTCCTCACTTTTTTCACTGTACAGGAAACAATTGTCAGTGTGAAATTGATAAACAAAAACAGTGTAAATGCAAGTGCAAGATGATTAATGTGCTTTGTTTTAAACTGATAACAGCTTGTGGAAGGAAGCTGTTCGAAAATCTATGTTCTGCATCTCAGCAAACAATATATCTTCTGGCAAATTAAGATAAAACATGGCTTTTCCAGGGTGGCTAAAAGAGTCATTGATTATCTTAAGAGCTACAGTAAGTTTAAGAGTCTGGGTTAATAAAGAGCCTCCAGAACAGGCTCACAGCTTACAGTCGTCTTTGCAGAGCGGAGAACCTTGTTTAGAGCTCTCCTTTCTTTGGCTGTGATGTCACCGAACCGAACAGAATTACCAAGCAAACTTACAATGGTGCAGCGATAAAAGTTCAGTTTCTGGTAAATTCTCGAAGTTTCCGCAAAAAGAAGAGACATGTGGGGTCTAGATCCACCCTTCCGGACTCATGAGGGTGGGTTGAGTAAAAGGATTTCAAAGATCTAAACTGTGTGATCATATACATTAGATGATGGCTCTTTGATCTGTGCCTTTTTTCATTGAAACATAGGTTTTAATGTAGATAAGTCAGGTTTTGCTGGTTTTTCAAATGTGTTGTCTGTTCATTCTAGGAGAAAAAACATGAGCCGGACTTCGCCTCCACTCTGCCCCCCCTGCGGAGAGCCAAGTCCCTGGACAGGAGAACTACAGAGTCTGTCATGACCGTAAGAACCAGCCCTTTGATTGGCAGGAATAGGCAATACATGTCAGCTGCTTAAGGATTAGTTGTATTTGACTCAATCATGTACGACTGAGCGAGTGTTTCTGGTCCCACGCAGTGTTCAGTTCAATTTTTTTTTAAATTGGATAGCCATAAATCACAACAGTAGTTATCTCAGAGGACTTCGCCAACACAGATCAAAGAATCAAGCAGTTCAGACACAGGAAATGCAATGATAAAAACACATAGAGCCTGTGGTCCATAAGAGGCAGAGACCAATGTCTATAATTGTTAATGAAGTCCATAAGGTGTTTGCGCTCCTATTTAGACCCTCTGTGGTTCCAGACTTGCACAACATTTAAGGTCCCACAGTCGGATTAGGATAAGGCTCATGTAAATAATGATGTGGAGTCTCATTTTAGTTGTTCATGTTGTTCATTGGCCGCAGGATGAAGCCACAGTGAATGTATACACCTCCATACTGTAGGGGAAGTAGTGTCGCCCCGCTCCGTCTGCTGCACAGGTTCTTGTGTTGTGTGTGTTTTGTCCTGAGCACAGTGTTACACAAACTTACATGTGAACACACATATGCAAACACATGTGAGCACATACACACACATGTGGGCATGTTGCCTTAATCACATTCTGTTCTGCCACAGGTCACATCACCTTTAAGAGCTAACAGTAGTCTGTGCCGCATGGCAGTATTTGGGGAAAACTAGAACAAAAAAAATTTGAATTTCTTGTTATTTTTTTCTAGCCTGACCTACTGAACTTCAAGAAAGGCTGGATGGTGAAGCTGGATGAACAAGGCCAGGTAATGTTTCACTTCAAACTCTGCTGTCTTTTGAGTAGTAGAAGTGAATAATCTGCCCTTGGTATATTCAGCATCAGTGACAGGTGTGTTTTATGATGTGTTTATGATGTGTTCGACTATGCAGTGGAAGAAGTACTGGTTTGTGCTGACGGACCACAGCCTGCGCTACTACAAAGACTCCATTGCTGAGGAGGTGAGAGGCCTTCTCCCAGTCACCGCACATGTGTGTGTCTTTGTCTGTCTGACCTGCTGTGCTTTCCTCTAGGCTTCTGACCTGGACGGTGAGATCGACCTGTCCACCTGCTACAGCGTCACAGAATACCAGGCTCAACGCAACTACGGCTTTCAAATTCATGTAAGAGAAGATTGTGAATAAAAAGGGTATCTTTATGTTTCTTATTTTTGTCTGATGTCTTTAGACGCAGGAAGGGGTCCACACTCTGTCTGCAATGACTGCAGGGATTCGCCGGAACTGGATCCAGGCGGTCATGAAGAACGTTCGACCTTCCACTGCCCCAGATGTAGCAAGGTTGGCTCCACTATCTCTGAACAAAGAAATACTGCATTTCTATCCTCTTGAAGCTTAATGGTAGGGTTGGGGCCAGGCATAGGTCCACAAGACCAGATGCAACACAAGATCAGACTTTGGCCAATCCCTTTAAAGCAGGGGTGTAAAGTCAAATCAGCCGGGGGCCACACAAAGTGACATAAAGGGCTATATTTATCACGGGTTTGTGTGTGCAAAATATACTGATATCAGAGCAAATCTAGAATAGAATTCAACCACTAAGATTGCACACGCCATTTTACTTTGCACACACAGTTTAGTAATTTTAAGAAAACTTTTTTATGCATGCCTTTACCTTTTTACTCTTAAACCTTGATTGCACCTTGAGCCATAGCAAATTTCTAGTTTGTGACTTCCTGTTACTGGCAACAACAAGAAATCTCAGTCTGATTTAAGACACAAACTTGTATTTTCCAGCTCCACCGAGGACCACGGCTCATTCTCACCTCTGGAAGGGTTGGTGCGACCAGACGTCACCCAGGACTCACCTTCCTCTGAGACATCCTCCGTGGACTCTCCGGCGGTCTCCAAGAGCAGGGCCCGGGAGCGCAGGCGAGAGGGCCGCTCCAAGACGTTTGATTGGGCAGAGTTCAGACCCATCGCCCAGGCCTTGGCCCAACAGAGGGCGCAGGATGCTGACCTGGGAGAGCTGGACAAGAGCCGGCGCAGAGAGGAGAGACGCAAGAGGTACGAGTCTGTGAGCAGCACGGACGGGAGCCGGGAGCAGGAGGAGAGGAGCGAGCAGAGCGAGGAGAGGAGCGAACAGAGCGAGGAGAGTTCAGAGCATGCGCAGCAGAGAGTGGAGGAGGCCATCGAACAACACTGGAGACAGGTGGAGAAGGCGCCCATCCGAGAGGAGAGGAGAGTGTCCCTGGCCTCTGCACCGCTTCTCCGACAGGCTGCAGAGCTGGAGCAGCTGCTGGACACCTACAAACAAGGGGTACGTATTTACACACTTATGACGGGTACTTATTTATTGTTTTACATAAGGCAAGAAAATTTTTTACCCAGTGTGAATACATCTTTCAAAGTTAGTTAAAAGGGCTGTTTGCAATGGTTTTAAAATGTCACCATTATAAAATCTGTTTATTGCTTTCAGATGGAGGAGCTGAAGGCCCAGCTGGAGAACTGTCATCAGCAGCTTCTGGAGTCCAACCGGCACAAGGATCAGCTGGAGCATCAGCTAAGAAGTGCTCTGGAGAGGGAGCCGGAAATCCGCACAGGCTACATCTCTCCTGTGAGTACTTGTACTATTACTGCTGCCTCTGCCATACTCTCTCCATCTCATAACATCCGCTGCATGTCATATCTCATCTCGTACTGTGAAAACAAACTGACATAAGAGACAAGACGATCCTTGCATGAGTTCAGTGCATGTGTCAAATATTCAAATCCTTGTACTACATTGGCTTTAACCGGTTCATCTTTTTCTTATAGATGTGAACTCATGCTAGAAGATACTTAGCATGCTAGCCTCAAGCTTTTCTGCATTGTGAGGAGTTCAAATATTTTCTATATGCAACAAAACATGCATTTGAAAAAAAATGTCGAATGTCAAAAACCTTTTGTTTGACATTACAATCCCAGTTTATTTATTCTTTTTGATATATAACATCACCATAAAAAAAATGTTGCTAGTCATTCCACGCAATATTTTACCGTATTGTCACTGTCAAGATTTGCTAAGTTTGATCTTTTAAACATGTATAAAAAGTACCTATGCTTGACTTATAATTTTATGCATGAACATTATGCATTTTTTCATTTTTAACTTCTGTAAAATCCAAACATTTGCCTTCTTAACATACTGTATAGCTGATGAAATACTTGTGTCGTGTGGTTGTGTTCTATGTAATGCGTTTTTTCATGTCTGTTGGCTTCTGGGTACATAAAATGAAACGGTAGATGTATCGTCTGCTGCTATGTGTCTGGCTCAGGAAGATATTCAGGTTGAAGGCACGTTACGCAAGTTGACAGCAAGTGTTTTGTAGAATATGTTTTCCTTCCATCCTAAAGAACCCATGCAGCTGCTACTAATGTGACATGACTTACTCCAATAACCATCTAACCTGCATGTTCTGGCCATTTAACTGCTTTCACACCACACCTTTGATGGGAGAGAGCAGGATTCAGTTTTCTTCATCCATTGAACATACTGATAAGTTATCAGAAACTAAATCTGCAACAAATAGGTGACAAATTCTGACCAGTAATAAATTATAAAGAAGGTTTATGTTTGCAGATTCAAAAACAAGACTTTAATGGCAAAGGCTGCAGAATTTCTATGTGAAAATGTTAGAAGAAATGTACCTTATTTGTAAATGTGTTAAACCTTCTGGCACCATATTTAAACTTTTAATTTGTCTAACATCTCAGTTTACATATGAACTCACCAAAATTATGCAGACACCCTTTTAGTTTACGTCAAAAATTGCAATGTTTTGGCCGAATTTGAGCCACGTATGAGTTGAGTGTACATTACATTAGGCTGTTAAAGCCAAGTCTGAAAAATAAAGTATTTTTTCACCTCACACAAATCCTGTTGCATTTCCGAATCTTGTCTTGAGGAAAGTATTTAATTGAATTACAATGACGAGAATACTGCTCTCTCCCTGTTTTCTTTAGAGTTTATTTAAAATCACCAACTATTCTCAGCAATGTTAATCAAGATTATGTGTGAATGCTAATAGTAATGTCACCTTTATATGTTAGAAAGTAGTCGTAAACAATGCTAGTCTATACAGATAATGATTTAGCAAGCTTTTTGTCTCCCCTGCTATGTGTTAACCAACTGTCTGGTCCCCTTTTCCAAGCTGGAGCCCCCTGTGGGCCAGGAGGCCGATGTGACGCCCCAGATGAAGAAGAGTGAGCTGGTTAGTTCCCAGGCGCAGAGTTTAACCAGGAAGTACCAGGAGACCAAGGAACTCCTGAAGCTGCAAGAGTTGAAAAAGCGCAGTATGCAGGCACAGCTTGGGCTCACGCTTTCTCACCTGCCTAATAAGGACACTTACTTTTCTGACACACCTCCCCCTGAACTTGTTCTAAAAACAGTTGGTCTCTTGCTTCATGACAGCTCCGAGGCTATTCAGGAGCTGGAAGAAATGCTGACTGATAAAACGATCACCACCAAGGAGCTGTCTTCCCTGCTGAAATTGCATAGCTGTAATCGCGACATACCCGACCGACTGTTACTCCAGAAGATATTAGAAACCTGGCAATGCCAACAGGAGATCACAAATGAGACCATCAAGACAAGTTTAGCCAAGGCTGGAGAAAGCATCCGAGAGTACGAGTCACGTCTTTTGACCATGGAGGAAGAGTTTGGGAAAGTCCAGAGGAAAAATACTGAAGGCCTCAAAAGTCCTTTCAGTCCTTGTCCAAAGATTGACAATCACTCAGAACCAAGGGAGATGACGATTGGAATGCTATCACAGAAAGTGGAACTGCTGACCTGCGAGAACGGAGCCTTGAAACAACGCTGCCAGGAGATCATCAATCAGCTGACAGAAGCTGATCGCGAAATAGATCGTCTCAAAGCAGAGCTGATCAGTCAGCAAGGTGGCAAGCAGAACCATCTTGTCGCAGAGGAGCTTAAAATTTTAAAGGCCGAGCTAGCTGAGAATCAGGCTAATGCCATTGATCGAGAGTACTATGAGAGGGAGCTTAATGAGAAGTCTTTAAGGCTCCATGAAGCTCTAGTTACCCTGGAGGAGCTCGGAACTACCCTCAAAGAAACAGAAATGAAACTCCAGCTGAAGGAAGCCACTTTGAAAGGTTTGGGCTTCACTGCAAACATGGAAGGTGAAGACTTGCAATCAGAGAAAGATCCACTCCCTGAGCTCCTAGCAGCTTCTCAGTTAAAACTGCAAGAGATTGAAGCACAGCTAGTTCTGTCAGAACAGAAATGTGAAAAACTTCAGGTTAGGAACAACAAACTTACAAGACAAGACCATGAGTCGGAGTCTGTTTTAAAGGAAAGGCTAGCACATGCAGAGGAAGAGATCCAGATCCTACGAGAGCGGTTAGAATCGCAGTGTTTATTAGAAAAGACAGAGTATGTTCAAACGAGGGATGTGCAGGTTGCTGATAAAGGTCAACTAGTGGTAGAAGAGTTTGAAAGGAAGTCACAGGCACTTAGTCAGGTTTTAGATGTGGTAGCTAATGTAGAAGTTAATGTAGAAAGAATTATTTCGTATCTGAGTGGCACTTTTTTTGACGCACCAAATGATGGATCTTTGATGGTTAGCCAAGCATGCCGATTAGCTGCTGTGGAGGGAGAATTCTGGAGCCAAATGAGTACAGCACATTCACATATGGGTAGATCTAATGTACAGTTTGTAAGGTTGGTCGAAGAGATAATTGCACATGAACAAGCCAATTTAGAAATGCAAAAGATATGTCTACTGGCAAAAAGTGATGAGGCCATGGAAGATTATTCAACTCTTTACAGTTGGCTAGACAATGGCTTTCATAGCTTAATTCTTCAAGAATTGAGAAACACCTTGCAAGAAAAGTTAGCTTTGACAAAGGAAATTGCCTCAGTTATAAAAATGAAAAATGAAAGGTCTTTAAGTGAAGCTAGTGTGGCGTTGGAGAGGCGTCTGAAAGAACCATCCGACTATCTGCAAGATGCTTTTAGGGAAGCTTGCTTGGCATATGTCTCAATAAGGTTGAATGTTGAACATCAGGCAAAGCTGTCTAAGATTCAGTCAGGTAATTTAGAATGTCCAAGCTGTTTAACATTAAAAGAGTTGGCCAGTAATCGGCAATCAAACATTGAAAATCTTCAAAGTCAAATGTCTGAGGTAGATCTGAAGATTCAGATTGAAGGCGAAGTGATTGACTCGGTAGATAAGACAATAGAACTTCAGGACATGTCAGCAAAGCACAAAAAGGAGCTGAGAGACCTTAAAGAGACCTACGAGCAGGAAAATCAGAAGTTACAGCAGGATTTAGCGAAGGTCAACAAGGCGTTACGCCTCCGTTCTGAAGAAAACGTCAAAGAGATTGACTCACTGACCAACTGCATGGAAAACCTCCAGCAGAAGCATGAAGCTGAGCAGAAGCGCCTCACTGAGAAGTTCAATAGCGACATGGCGGAGCTCTGGAGTTCAGTCAATCAAGCAAATTTAGCAGAATGTGAAGCGTTTTCTCTCCAAACGCTAAAAGAGCACATCCAAGAGCTGGTCCATCAATTGTCCGTCACGAGCGAAGAAAAGAGGCGGCGCGAGGAGCAGGACGAGCCCACCACTCTGCGGCGGAAATACGAGCAGGAGCTGGAGAACCTGAAGGTGGAAGCGCTACTTGTCCTTGCCATTCCTCGTCTGTGATGCCTTGTGTTCCTTTGTGGCATTCCCAGTACCCTACTCCTCTTATTCCTCCTCCTCCCCCAGACCCCCTTGTGCCCCCTAACCCAGCTCACATTCCTGTCGCTAGACCCTTCAGTGTTGCATGAAAACTAACTCCCTCAGGTTGACTGATGAACCAATCTTAGCATCAAGATTAAAAGTAATGTTCCATTCCTTATGATGCTTGCGTTGCATCAAGAGGTCATTTTCAATTAATTGTATTTCTCTTGCGTACTTGGACAAACATGGGTATTATTGTTTTGGCTACAGCTTCCCTAATTAATTTCCAAAATCATTCTGCCGGTAATTTGACCAAGACCACTTTACTCTGATTATACATTTGCGTGACAGTCAACTATTATTGCTGCACTATCAACACAAATGTTACATTATAAATGGCATGAAGTAACTTTCACTCTCTTTGAGCAGCTGCAAATCCTATATTTCCCTTTTGTTATAATTTGAAAAGATGGGATCCTTGCGAGCAATAACTGTTGATACTACTCAAATTCAAAGGCATGTTTTAATCAGAAATGGGAATGCGTTTTCTATTACCTTTTAATTAATGGTTGCATTCATTCACATTAGTTCAATAAGGGGCACCAGTAACTATTGAAGATGCACTAAGAGTTAAATCATGCATATTTTACACAGGTTTTGTGGATTGGCCCAGTAATTTCAGAAATATTGCCATAAACCAGTTAGAAAAAAACAGCAACTTCTATTTTGAATGATTTTAAGATTATATAGATTCTATCTCTAAGTGATGTAATGTGAAAGTTATCTCGAACGTTTCAGAATTGCAGAAGTAAGTAAGTTGACTTATTTTAAATGGCCAAAATGCTCAGGAATAGTTTGCAAGCCAGACTTTGAGAGCAGCTGACATGTTGAGAGTGGGACCGGCTGGTTGTGATGTCAGTGCAGGAAGTTGACATTAGCTGAGTGGGGCCATGTTGCTCTCTCAGGCTCTGATCCCTGTGTAAACACTTCCTCCCATGTTTCCGAGAGGGCTGGGTCTGGCCACGGCTCGACACCCACAGTAAGTCCTCTGAAAAGACCACGGAAGCTGCTTCAACCTCTGCAATATTCAGGATACACATTCTGTCACGTCAATTTGTTTGGTGAAAGACAACTACAAAGTAGTAGAAAAATAAATCTCATTTAACGGCTTGCAAAAGTATTGTGCTTCATGAGTTAATACCCCATCTGGCTGCACTTACAGTAGGATGTCTTTTAGGGTATGACTATTAACTTTGCTCATCTAGAGGCAGCTCAAGCTCATAGCATGAGATGGAGAGCATTTGTGAACGTTCTGGCCACAACGTCTGATTAGGAATCATTAGGGGCGGTGAATCCAGTGCTGACAATGAACAGGCGCCACCATGTGTACACCAGATGAAAGGATGTCCCATTCATATGCACTGAACTGCAACCAAGTCCATGAATTGGTCTATTTTTGTAAATTATCTGGAGACAATGGACAAAGTAATAGGTGTATTACTTTTTATGAACTATTTTGTCATAGTTTCTAAATATACAACTAATATATGTTTTTATTCGTCCCACAGAAGGGACATTTCAGTGGAGCAATAAAGTATTTGGCAATTGCTGTTTGGGCAAAACATTTATTTAGTATAATAGTTGGACTCCGTGTACCTGAGGACTAGTCGTCTGTTGTTGGGAGTTGGGAGTTCTGTGACGCCCCTCGAGACGACTGTTGTGATTTCAGGCGATAATAATTAAATTGATTTTATTTTCTTTAAGACAGATCACTCATTCTGTTCTTGTTGTAGAAAAGAAGCCCCAAACCATAGTGTTTCCACCCCCATCATTCACAATGGATATAGTGTTCCTCGGATGCAACTCTTACCCCCCCCCCAAAGACGTTATTTTTCTTGCCAAGAAAGTTTTATTTTGGTCTCATCTGACCAGATGATATTCTCCCAGGCCTCTGGATCATCCAGACGTTCAGTGAAAAGCTTTAGAGGGCCCTGGATAGGAGTTAGCTTCGGCAGGTGAACCTTTCAGCACTGCATCCAAACAACACCCACACCACCCCAAAACCCACTCTGAAGCATGCCATAAGGGTTTGGTGCTACTTTTCCACAAAGAGGACAATGATCCGAATAACGAAAGTATTGAGTTGGACTTTCGTTATTGGTAAAATACTTATTTGCTGCACTATTCTACAAATAATGTGTTTGAAAATCATAACATGTGATTTTCCATATTCTCTCACTCACAGTTGGAGTGTACTAGGGGAAATTATTTTTTCCCAACATGGAAATCTGTTGCTGCCAAATACTACTGTATATCAAACTAAATATGATTTTGATACTTTTCATATCTGGTGAGCAGGACTTTCAATGTATTGCAGTGATGTACATACATGTTCTACCCAATATTTAGTTCAAATGCAGATTAACATTTACTTACATTACTTTGCTTTTCTTAAAATTATATCAGATCTGCAAAGGGGATTGCAGCTTGCATTTAGCTTAAAATGGAATTAATTCAAGTCAATTTTGCTCAGCCAACTCTTTCCACTTTCTGTTACCGTCTGTCCTGTGATGGTGTCGTCTGTGCCTCTTTAACTTCTTTGTACTCACTCAGGCTGGAAGTGTGCGTGGCTAATCGGCTGTAGCTTGCTGTAAAAGTGACTTTTGAGTGTTTGCTTAAGTGTGAGTCTACCGGTCTGACCATATGCCCTTCGCTGCCCTCCCATAGGCCACGTGTGAGCGGGGCTTCGCTGCTATGGAGGAGTCCCATCAGAAAGTGATCGACGAGCTGCAGAAGAAACACCAGAGGGAGTTGGAGAACCTCCAGGAAGAGAAGGAGAGGCTGCTGGCGGAGGAGACTGCGGCCACTATAGCAGGTAAAACTCTAATTTGAATATGATGCGTTGTTTGTGTTCATTTTGAAACTTGAAACCTGAGGGTGGCACAGTGAGTGGCTGAGTGGTTAGCACTCATTCTTTAGTAGTAGTGCAGAGCGAAGGAGTGTGTGTTTGTGACTGTGACTGTGGGACGCCCACAAACATACAGCAGTGTTCATCAATACACACAGTCCCATTCAATTAAACAAATATATACAATTATTTAGAAATAATGTTTTCAGTATAACATATGACATTTTTTGTGAATGATTAGTTTTATAAATGGCAGAGAACTGCTCTGTCCATGGCGTCTTAGTGTTTAAACATTAAATGTGGAAGTTTTGTATGAAGCAGTCACCATACATTTAAAAAGGCACACTATATTCACACACACATAGGGCTGGTCTCTTCATTCACGCACACATACTGTATGCAATTGACCCATCCTGCACTCACGCCTCTGTCATGAACATCTGCCCCATGTGTAGCAACAGTGCTTATCACAAGTCTCCATGCTGTCTGTGTCCACCTAATACACACTCTAATATAAAACCATACATATGAAGCTTAGTGAAGGTGGAAGTTTGTTACTGGCCTCTTCCTCACAATGCACTTTTTGGCTGGTGCGACTCTTCAGTACGACAAATAGTGTAAACATGCTGTCTCCTGTGTGTGCAGCTATTGAAGCGATGAAGAACGCACACCGCTCGGAGCTGGAGAAGGAGCTGGACAAGGCCCGCAAAGCAAACAACCATGCAGAGAATGCAGACATGGAGGAAGTCCAACGGCAGCATGAGTACGTATGCAACAGTGTGTATGTGTGTGTATGTAACAAATTGTATATTAATTGTGAAAGCAGGCTGCATATTCAGATTTTTACCCCAGATTGTCAAGTCAATGACTGGTTTCCTTACGTCGCAATAATCATCTGCATGTTTCACTGCAGTGTTGCTAACTGAGGCCTTCTACACTACCGTTCAAAAGTTTGGGGTCATATTAAAATGTCCTTATTTTTGAAGGAAAAGCACTGTAGATAACTTTAAACTAAATACACTCTATACATTGCTTATGTGGTAAATGACTATTCTACCTGCAAATGTCTGGTTTTTGGTGCATTGTTGTAATTGCTGCAAATGGAGGATTCTTTGACGAAAGCAAAGTTTGATGTAAAACAAATCTTATTTCAAATACAAATCATTATTTCTAACCATGTCAATGTCTTGACTCTATTTTCTATTAATTTCACAAAGTATGGTGGTGAATAAGTGTGACTTTTCATGGAAAACACTTGGGTGACCCAAACTTTTGAACGGAAGTGTATGTAATGTCTAATATGGAGAATTCTGCAATCCACTCCTCATACTGTTAGCAGTTGGAGCTGATTGCAAGACCTAAATCTAACAAAGCATCAGGCTTTCATTTGTGATGTTTGGTGTTGAATAAAAATGTGTGTTCTGGAGAACCCCAGACGAGAACATGTGAGTGATGCCCTCCACCAACATATCATTGACATTCCTGTCTCACATGCACACTGCCCCAGTCCTGCGCCAACACGTCCCCATGTCTGAGGTGTGCCAGCTGTGTCTTTGGGAAGAGACAATCCATCTTGTGTTGTGCGCTACTTCTTAACCAATAGAGTGCTGTGGGGGAACAAAACAATGCATCTGCTTTTTTTGGACTGTGTTTCACTTTATTCTTCCACTGTCCACGGTGGTACTACTACCTTAGTCACAGAGGCCCTGGGGTTGGATAACAGAAGCGAGGCGACCAGTATGTGCCGCATGCCCCTCTAGCCACCAACAATCGTTCACTCAGACTCATACTTGACAATGTGCATTTTCATTGCCACTCAAGGGGCTGAAGGTCTCTGAAATCACTTGAAAACCATGTGCATTGGTCGCAGTTTTTGTGGAAACACTGACGTTGTCCAAAGGTTTACGTGTGAGCTCTGTGTTGTGCTGTAGCGAGGAGCTGGGTTCCTTCCAGAGGGAGATCGAGGTGCTGTCGGAGCAGTACTCTCAGAAGTGCCTGGAGAACGCTCACCTGGCCCAGGCCCTGGAGGCGGAGAGGCAGGCTCTGAGGGTGTGCCAGAGGGAGAACCAGGATCTGAACGCACACAACCAGGTACGCCTCCACAGCCGTCAGTCCTTTACTGTCTTCACCTTTCATTGGTCAGAAGTCTAAACATATGTCACTATACATCAAAGTAGGGATGTAGACATTTTAGAAAACAATGATTATACTGTAATTATTTTTATTTTTCTATTGTGACTTAAATAATCAGTATTATAATATTCATCTTGACATCTTGACCCACAAACACCCAGTTCTCAGAGTGTGCATCAAATAAATTGTCTCATAAGTCCCTCACGATTCCATTTGCGATACATGGCTCTCAACTTTTACTTACACAAACGATCCCAAACGCTTCTACAAAAAATATAAGCGTTTGTGTGTGTGTGTGTGTGTGTGTGTGTGTGTGTGTGTGTTTGTGCAGGAGCTGAACAACAGGTTGGCCACAGAGATCACCAGGATGCGCTCCATGGCATCAGAGGAGGGCTCCTCGGAGGGCACCACCATACATGGCAAAGAGCTCTACGAATTGGAGGTGACAAATGGATCTAGATTGATATTGTTTTGAAATTAGTTGTTGGATTATGTCGACAACACCTAACCCTAAGAGCAATATCATAGAAGCTATATTAACCGGAGCGTTCTTACATTAGCATTCTTACATTAGTGCTCTTACATTAGCGTTCTTATATTGGCTGTCTCACATTAGCGTTCTTACATTAGCGTTCTTATATTAGCGCTCTTACATTAGCGCTCTTACATTAGCGTTCTTACATTAGCGCTCTTACATTAGCGTTCTTACATTAGCGTTCTTACATTAGCGTTCTTATATTAGCGCTCTTACATTAGCGTTCTTACATTAGCGTTCCCGGACAAGTGTTCAAAGTAATTCCCTTTGAGACGTTTACAGCACAGTACTTATATATATATATATATATATATGAATAATGATTGTTGTTTACTTTATCAAAAAGTGTTTTTACTCTGCATGTCTTCAGGTGATGCTCAGGGTGAAGGAGTCTGAAGTGCAGTACCTGAAACAGGAAATCAACTCTCTTAAAGATGAGCTCCAGTCAGCACAGCGGGTATGTAAGCCAGACCCTCCTCTGCACAGGTGCATGCTGAGGGTGAGGTTGAGAGTGTGTGTGGTAGGGCTGGGCGATATGGCTGAAAACTATATCACGATATAAGTCATTCATATCGGTCAATAACGATATATATTGAGTTTTTTTTTTTTACCTAAATAAATATATTTGTTGTGTGGGCTAACCAACCTTAGCAGCCTTGTTTACAGTCACGGGGCGATGAGGCTGGAGGAATATGTTCACACTGTGTCCCTCGTTGTTAGTCCTGGTTTAATCCTGGTTTTTTATTCCTGGTTTAGCTCCTGGTTTAGCTCCTGGTTTAGCTGTTTGAGGGTCTTGTGTCCCCGTGACCGCTCCGTGCGGCTCTCTGTGCCGCACATGCTTCCCGAGGAAAAAGTTAATCTCTTGCTTTTTTTGCGGTTCCTGCTCGGCTGTTATTGGTCGAGAAGCCTCTGCCTACATCCCCCACAATGCCATGCGCTTATGAGTCGCGGCTTATGAGTCGCGGCGCTTAAAGTGTTTTTATATTCGTATACCATGTCATTGTCCATATAGGATTATGTCAAATACAAAGCTTTTAACTGTTTGTGTTTGTGTGTGTGTTTCTGTTTGTGTGCGCGCGGCAGGACAAGAAGTACGCCACGGACAAGTACAAAGACATCTACACGGAGCTGAGCATTGTGAAGGCCAAAGGTGAGAGGGACGTGGGCCGCCTCCGAGAGCAGCTGCAGCTCGCCCACGAGGCGCTGGGGGAGGCGGAGCTGGAGGACCTGGACCGCTGCGGATACGGTACTGACCCCTGCTTTGGTACCAATTTTTCTATTATTATTTTTTTTTTTTTGTAAAGCCCTAAATTATAACAACAGTTAAGTTGCATTCTGAGAAAAAAATTCACATTCGTGAGCCTTCTTGTTAATGATAAGAAGTTAAAGTCTCAGCAGGAGACAGAGGTAAGACAGCAGAGGGGGGAGGGAGCCAGAGGTGAGAAGCTGTCAGGGGAGACAGAGGTGAGACAGCAGAGGGAGGGAGGAGGGAGCCAGAGGTGAGACAGGGAGAGGGGGTTGCTCTGACAATTTTGTATCTGGTCACGCAATCACCTGACATTTTGCTACAGAAAAAGTGACGCAAACCCTTCAGATCCTGATCTGAAGTCTCCATCTCCCAGGGCTCATCCATCGCCAAGGTCTCAATTGCATGTGTTGCCCTTTAACATCTCTGACAACTGGAGTTTTCTTTGGTAGTCGTGGATGAGGTTCTTTGATGGTAAAGCAGTGCTGTTGAGGCATTTAACTTATTTTTACATTTCAGTGAATTCAATTAATGAACTATAAAGTAAATATACAATATCAACAAACAATATTTAAACTATTTTATTTGGTTTAATTTTTGAGAATGTATTTGCACCAAGCGATCTCAGCCAGGTGCTCCGGTGCACTTGGTGCCCTCTGGAGCCCTGACAGAATGAGGTTGGTTCTTCTTCATTTGTTCTAAAGTTGGACCTGGTGTAAACTAGGGATGCACCGATCCGATACTGGTATCGATATCGGCGCCGATACCAGAAAAAATACTGGATCGGATATCTGCGTAGCGAGAGGCGCCGTGCTGCCGATCCATTTTCTTTTCTTTTCTTTTTTTTTAAATTATATATATCTTTTAATACATACCAGGTACCGCACAATGTCTTAAAATACATTGTGCATAATGTACATATACGTATAAAATGAATGAATTAAAAGTAATTTATCAGATCTCACGTACACGTCACTTCCTCGTGGCGCTCTACAACAACAACAACACAGCATGGAGCGCAGTAAGAATGAGCGTTGTTCACGCGGCGGTAAACTAGCGAAATACAACACGACTAAGCACCACGAGAAACAGCATGGGGAGTTTTTGCATCGAAAGGAGATTACGTGAAAACAACGAGACACAGATGACACTGACGCAGCGTCACAAAAAGCTTTTCAGCAACAACCCGAAAGTGTTGGAGTTCATCAGTTTGGGCTCGCAGCCGGACCATTTGGAACCCAGGTACAGTGCCTTGCGAAAGTATTCGGCCCCCTTTAACCTTTCAACATTTCGCCACATTTCAGGCTTCAAACATAAAGATATAAATACATTTTTTTTGTCAAGAATCAACAACAAGTGGGACACAATCGTGAAGTGGAACAAAATTTATTGGATAATTTAAACTTTAACAAATAAAAAACTGAAAAGTGGGGCATGCAATATTATTCGGCCCCCTTGCGCTAATACTTTGTAGCGCCACCTTTTGCTGCAATTACAGCTGCAAGTTGCTTGGAGTATGTCTCTATCAGTTTTTCACATAGAGAGACTGGAATTCTTTCCCATTCTTCCTTGCAAAACAGCTCGAGCTCAGTGAGGTTGGATGGAGAGCGTTTGTGAACAGCAGTCTTCAGCTCTTTCCACAGATTCTCGATTGGATTCAGGTCTGGACTTTGACTTGGCCATTCTAACACCTGGATACGTCTATTTGTGAACCATTCCATTGTAGATTTGGCTTTATGTTTTGGATCATTGTCCTGTTGGAAGATAAATCTCTGTCCCAGTCTCAGGTCTTTTGCAGACTCCAACAGGTTTTCTTCCAGAATGGTCCTGTATTTGGCTCCATCCATCTTCCCATCAATTTTAGCCATCTTCCCTGTCCCTGCTGAAGAAAGGCAGGCCCAAACCATGATGCTGCCACCACCATGTTTGACAGTGGGGATGGTGTGTTCAGGGTGATGAGCTGTGTTGCTTTTACGCCAAACATATCGTTTTGCATTGTGGCCAAAAAGGTTTGATTTTGGTTTCATTTGACCAGAGCACCTTCTTCCACATGTTTGGTGTGTCTCCCAGGTGGCTTGTGGCAAACTTTAAACGAGGCTTTGTATGGATATCTTTGAGAAATGGCTTTCTTCTTGCCACTCTTCCATAAAGGCCAGATTTGTGCAGTGCACGACTGATTGTTGTCCTTTGAACAGACTCTCCCACCTCAGCTGTAGTTATCTGCAGTTCATCCAGAGTGATCATGGGCCTCTTGGCTGCATCTTTGATCAGTCTTCTCCTTGTTTGAGATGAAAGTTTGGAGGGACGGTAGATTTGGTAGATTTGCAGTGGTCTGATACTCCTTCCATTTCAATAAAACTGCTTGCACAGTGCTCCTTGAGATGTTTAAAGCTTGGGAAATCTTTTTGTATCCAAATCCGACTTTAAACTTCTCCACAACAGTATCTCGGACCTGCCTGGTGTGTTCCTTTGTCTTCATGGTTCTCTCTGCGCTTTAAACAGAACCATGAGACTATCAAAGAGCAGGTGCATTTATACGGAGACTTGATTACACACAGGTGCATTCTATTTATCATCATCAGTCATTTAGGACAACATTGGATCATTCAAAGATCCTCACTGAACTTCTGGAGTGAGTTTGCTGCACTGAAAGTAAAGGGGCCGAATAATATTGCATGCCCCACTTTTCAGTTTTTTATTTGTTAAAAAAGTTTAAATTATCCAATAAATTTCGTTCCACTTCACGATTATGTCTCACTTGTTGTTGATTCATGACAAAAAATTAAAATTTTATATCTTTATGTTTGAAGCCTGAAATGTGGCGAAATGTTGAAAGGTTCAAGGGGGCCGAATACTTTCGCAAGGCACTGTACATGCCGTCACCAAATACATATCTGAAATCTAGTTAAAGCTACGATACTATTATTTATTTACATTTTCATGCAGCGTGTTTTGTTTGTTGTAAGTGTTTATTTATTCAAACACAGTTAATATAAGTACATTTATAATCAATAAATGTATAAGGTATAATACAGTGTTGGAAAGTTTAATGTGAACATTGAGCAGCTCTTTATAGTTGCAGTATTGCACATTTATGTTGAATCCATTTTTATCTGGAAAGTTTAGCGCTTTAGTTCATCCACTGCTTTTGCAGTTACTTGAACAAAGAGTTAAATTATTAAATACATTTTAGCATGATCATTTTCGGTATCGGTCAATATTGGTATCGGCAGAAACCCATAGCTCTGGTATCGGTATCGGTATTGGTAGTAAAAAAGCTGGATCGGTGCATCTCTATTGTAAACCCAGTGTGTGTGATGCTGTGCTTTCAGACATCATGAAGTCCAAAAGTAACCCTGACATTCTAAAGATGGCCGCTGCTGCCAAGCGCTCAGAGCGCACGCTGAGGTCCAAGGTGAGTGTATGTGTGTGCGTGTGCGTGTGCGTGTGTGTGTGTGCAGGTTTGTTTGCGTGTGCACCCCACAAGACAGTGTTATTGTTGTGTGACCACAGCACATCAACACCTATCTCCTTTACTGTTCACTCACTCCTACATTACTAGGTTAAGTGGCGCCCCCTGCAGGCCTTAGGCATGCCGTGCTGTAGTGGAGAACATTTTCAAACTTGAGTTCAACAGTTATCAACAATAGAATTCCACATATGATTTGTAAATGTTGAGCCTGAGTCTGGGGGCACAGATAACGGATGAAGTTGTAGTTGGCAGAGACTGTAGATTTTCTTAAAGCAGGACTTAGGAATTCTGTCAGGAGACATGAATGCAACCCGTCTGATCATTCAAAGAGCTTAAGTCATGATGGAGGTCAGCTGAGAAATCTAACTAACTATGGTAAACATGACCTTTTATCATTATTTTCTCATAAAAGTGTCTAGAAGTTGTGAGAATAATCAAAAATAAATTATGTTGGCCAATAGAAAGAACTTTCAGACAGAAGAATAATATAGCAGCTTTGTGACTCTAATCACTATAAAATTATGATGAGGACATTTTTCTAAAAATATTCTTTACCATAGAGTTGTATTCGCACCTGCTGAACTCCTTAGCTCTGAAACTTCTTGTTCAGTGAAAATGTAGAAGAAATACATCAAGTTTAACTTGTAGTTTAAGTTTAGAAACTAATTATAGAATAAATACTGCTAACCGTACACTTGAGGTGTGTGTGTGTGTGAGTATCTGGTGTTTGTGTATGAGAGAGACAGTCTTGTGTGTAGCAGTAGTCTAACACACAGCCGTTGCTTGTGTGTCTCCTCTGCAGTCTGTGAGTCGTGACATGCCCTGGGACACTTAGGGCTGCAGTCCCCCCTTCCCCCCCTCTGCTTCGGAGGTAAAACCACAAACGCACCCAGACCCCCTAACCCCACTCTCTCTGCGTGCGGCGTCCCTCACAGACCACACAGACGCACACTTCCCATGGCTTTTGTGGTCTCTCTAAAGGCCTCAGTTTACTTCTCCAACAGTATGTGTCTGTGGAGCGTCTGAGCCCTGGGACCAGCAGACTTCTCCCTCCTGGTGTCTACTATGCAATCGCAATGTTCCCACCTGATCAGCAGAGGTCGCTATAAGCAAGAATTCTCGTCACAGTGTAATAATAATGGCTTGTGTGCTTGTCATAGATAGATAGATGCTTTATTGATCCCGTAGGACAAATTTAGGTGTCCAGTAGCACCAGAAACCCATCCATTCATACATACAAACAAAACAAATAAATAACTAATAGTATTAAAATGCAACAGCACTTCAGGTCACAGCAGCAGAGGTGGTGTAGCCGCTGGGTGGGTCGTGCTTCCAAGAGACCGCTGTTACTGTTGGAGTTGAATATAGTTAAAACACAGATACTTTATTCACTCACTTACTCACTCACAGCATTGCAGTGTGACAGACTTGAGCCACTTCCAGAAGTTTAAAACATCATTATGATCCCAATATTCTCGGTGTGGGAATGCTGGGAATCCTCCCTGGGCTTCTATGCTTTGGGAGTGGATGAGATCTGTCCTGATCATTTTAAGTTTTTGGAGGTTGCGGGACTGTCTTGGTTGACACTACATCACTTGGTGTTCGGGGACTGAGCCAGGTTTGCGTCCTGGCCCCCGAACGCTGATTGGAAAGGACACAATCACATTATAAAACTGAACCTCTGCAAGGCGTCTGGGTACAGGGAAACTTTGTGAAAATTTAAATAAATGAATTATTAAGTAAGAAAAAATAATGAATTGTCTTCTACTTCTGAAGCGAGACAGAATTATTACATGGGGACAGCAGAGGGAGGGAGGAGACAGGTGAGACAACAGATGGAGGAGACCGGTGAGACAAGAGGGAGGAGACAGAGGTGGGACACCAGAGGGAGGAGGGAGACGGGTGAGACAGCAGACGTCACATTTGGAGCCCTTAGCCAATATCTCTGGCCTGAAGGTCCCACAGTAACCTGGCAAGAGCCAGATTGATGATTGTGTAGAACTCTAACGCGTTCTCCGCGATATCAATCTGGGATTTCTCACGGAGAATCCTTTCGGGGAAAGGAGGGATAAGCAGCAGAATACTTGAAGCTGATTGGGCGAAGTGACGCTGTGTGCCCGCCTACCAAGGTTTGACTTACGTAGGTAAAAATGCACAAACATCTTTGCCGTCCAGAAATGCACAAAGCGCCTCTCGCTGTTTATCTTTTAAAAAAGAAATTGGAGATTCTGCTAAAACTGACTTGATAGCCTCAGCTACGCGTCCGTCCTCCTGCGTAGCCATGTTTGTTTTGCTTCGGCCCGGCACTTCTTGCTTTCGTCAAACCCGGATATCCCGCCCTAAACCCCCAGACTGGCGCGTGATTGGCTCGCACACCCAGTGGTTCGACTCGAAAAGTGTAAGCGGGAGCGGTACAAGATGTATTCTCGAGTGTTTGTGAACTCACAAATACCGCGAGAATTCAGCTTGCAGGCAAGGTTAGTCCCACAGTACTCAGCGTGTTTTGTTGTGGCTTTGTGTGTTCCAGAGTCTAAAGGAGGGCCTGACCCCTGAACAGCGCCTCCACCTGTTCGATAACAAGGACTCCAAAGAGTTCTGACCTCTGCACGCTCCATCACGCACGCGGGCTCCTACCACCCCACACTGGCCCCCACACTGGCCCCTGATGTTACTGATGGTATGAAGTCTGTCGTCTGCATTCCCTGCACTTCAGTGAACTGTGACTTTTTTTTGGGGTTTTTTGAGTTTTTTATTTTTTGCTGCCATGTCTTACTGTAAATACTGTTTTAAATGATGATCCCGTCAACACTAAAGAAACTCTGTGTAAGCTACTGTTTTTAACCCCCTGCGGACTGTTGCTATAGCCACCAATGTGACTGTGAATGGCTGAACCACAGCGAGTCGAGCTGGGCAAAACCAACTCACGACGCAGGGAAGAACCTCCAAATCCATACTCTTCTAGATGTTTTAAGTGCGTTAAGTGTTTTTAGATATTTCTGATACGTTTTAATTTACCAGTGGCATATCATTTCAACAATTAATGAAGCCGAAGAGCGTCGGATGAATGAACAAAAACACACTATTCCAAATGGGCAATATTTTGGCAATTTTGTCTCTTGCATATGCTTCTCTACACTGAGTTCTTATCATTTTTAAACTGTTTTTAGGGCTGGGATAACACATAATAGGTTTATGCACATATTTTCTACTTTGTTTCACGTTTTAAAACAAGAATTGTCCCAGCCCTGCAGTTTATGGTCCAATATTTCACAATGATAGTGAATTGGTTTTGTCCCTCTTGGCCTGTCGCACTCAACAGATCCATTTTTGATGAGCGAGTATTACTTGCATAACAAATATTTATGAATGAATAGTGTGCATGTCTTTTATTGTTTTGCTCTCACCACTTTCTTTTACCATTCCCGCTCGCTAAGAAGCACAAGTTGTCCACAGCACTACAGAACAAACTCTTTCCAGACGACTGCATTGTCTTGAACTAAGTCCACCCAAGGCTGAAGCATATGAATGATACTTTGGATACTTTTATAGCGCTGACACCTCCCCTTCACCTCACTACAATCATTGCAGTTTGTCTTGTCCAGTGGCAGTCCTTTTGTATTTATTTGAACAGTTGGGATATTCACATTCCCACTCCTCTGTACTCTTATTGTAAATATAAAGCAAATATACACCAACTGACAACAGGTTTATTAGCAATAAATATTTTTGCACCCTTTGACTTGGTTGCCATGTCTGTCTCCTGTTTATTTCATGTTTTTTAAATAGATTAAATAGAAAATCCACTAGTAGGAATCTAACCAGTGTCACAACAGTGTATTCATTTTCTTTTAAAACAATATAGAATTAAATTTGGAGCAGAGCTGTTTGACACTTCGTTATTGTATACGTACAGTTACACTTGAGTGTAACAAACTGGGTAAACGTTTGGTCCAAAGTAACTTTTACTTTTTCTGTTTCTATATGTAATTTATTTCTATGTCAATATTTGTTATGGTAATATCTTTTATTTTATCAATATATATTACAATGTATTTATTTATTTATTATTGTGTATATATATTTTTATTTTTTTCTCAGAATTCCATTGACGACTCTGGGTGTTTCAGAATTCCTTGTGTTTTTTACCATTGAGTGAAGACTACAGTTAATGGAGGCTGTTACAGTTAAGGCCAAGGAAAATCATAGACTGTACATCTAAATATTGTATAATTCCGAAAGACGGCCTTTACTTTGACAGTCCCCTGGCGGAAGTGCGCTATGGGCCCGGCCTTTACTTTGAAGGGCTGCGGTAGTGAGTGGCTCTAGTGTCTGTGGGACCGTCCGTCTGTGATGTGTCTGTAAAGTGTACGGCTCCTCTCCTCGGGCTCCTGGGGACAAACACCTGCGTGTGAGACATGGAGAGCTCCAGGGCGTGAAGCGACGTGAAGCGGCGGCGGTCCGTGCGTCTGTCCCGGAGCGTGACCTGTGAGTTTACGGTAAGTTCCCGCTGCCTTTGTCTCGCTCCGGGCCTGGCTCCGCAACGTGTTGCCGCACTTCATTAGCTGAAAGTTTGACTAAACGTAAACCTGACTTCAGTTACTCTCTAAAAGTCGTTCAACAGTAAAGTCATGTCCTGGATTCTTGCTTTACTTCTTTTCACTTCGGGACATGTTTCTTAGACTCTGGACTTGTTAAAAGTCCGTTTATATTTGGACCCCGCTCTGGACGTTAACGATTTCACAAAGTTCCTGGGGATAGTGAGAAATGAAGAAATGAAAATGTATGACTTCTATTTTAATACAGTGCAGGTGTCTTTTTGAGATATCAACACGAACCGAATTCCAGATAATACTGTTATCTGTTTGCCCTGACGCCCGGAAGTTGTTTTGGAGGCGTCTAATTTATCAGCTTTGATAAAATGTCCTCGTGTTGACAGAATGCGGATCAGGTTTGAAATGTCTCAGTCTGGACCGCCGTTAGCCGAGGCCTAGCATGTAGCCACAGCCAAGCTACTGCAGTGTGTGTGTGGGCCGTGCTGTCACCGGCTGGAGTCTCATGGCACTGGATCTGATGCTGCTTCTGTCTGTTTTATATTTGAGAAGCATTTCCATGTGGTGGTTTATGCACCTGTGGTTAACAGGCCTTTAAACATTTATTATAATCACTTGTCTCCATCATGCTCTGCAGTCACTCCCCAGTTTGTTTGGAGACATTATGTATCGGCCAATTCAATATTTCGTTAAAACAAGAAGGCTAAAAAAGAAGTTAAAAAAGAATTCTAAAATAAAACTTACAAAATACTGGGAAAAACATTGCACTGTTTCCTCTTTGTAGACTCTTAAAGACACAAGTTCATAATTTTTGGTGGTTTGTGTGAAAGTTTATTGTCAAACATGTTTTCTATTTCTAAATTGCTTCTTTGAGTCAGTCTGGGGAGATCTCAAAAGTGCAGTCCATGTAAGGTGTCCCTGGAATTTCAGGAATTGACTTAGCAGAGAAAAATCGCTTTACAATCAGTGACGATCAATGACCACTACCCCAGAAGACACAAAGCTGTCATAGGGCGATGGAGACTTCTGAAAAGGGGAGTTTGCAACAGAGAAAACATCTTTCTTTGACAAACTGCTTCAAATAATCACTAACAATGATGGAGAAATGTGTTTTTGCATTGTCGTTCATAATCTCAGAAATATAGCTAATAACCTGGGGGATATTTAAACTTTCAAGTACAACTGTATATAAATATTTTATTATATCATGATGAAGAAATAGTATGTAAATGTACAAGTATAAATGAAAAAAGGCTTTAATGTGTGAGTTGCATTTGTAGCGTTAGAATAATTAAGAGTCTGATAATAAGTTTTCTTTGCACTTGTGGCCATGATGCAGAACTGCTAGTGTCAAGCCTGATAAAATTTACATTTTAAGATTCTACAGTAGAAATGTATTTGTTATATCAGCTCATTGGTCACTTAATTTTCAAAAAAGCAGAGGCCATAGTTTGATAAATGTCTTTAAACTTGCTCAGCTTTAAAAAAAAACAAACAATAAAACAAAGATGTGGTGGTTTAGCGATGCCCTCTCTTGCTCAGCTAATCTGCTTCTTGCACAAAGAACATGTTATGTTTTCTCAAAAGATTATGCAATCACAATGTGGGTTGATTTGTCTACCAAAAAATTTCTTTTGCAACATGATGACTGATTTGTGAATCTCCTTTGCAGTTGTGATGGCGCAGCCTCCCGGGAGAGCAGACGACCACCAGACCCCTCAGGACCTGTCCACCTCCAGTAGAACAGAACAATGTGCTGTGGTCAGGAGGAACCCTGGCTGGTACCAGAATTCAGATCAGGGAAGCCCTATCCTACCTGACAACGCCCTCTCCCGCACCACCGTCACTCTGTCCTACGTGAGCCGCTCTCATGTCTTCTCCACTCAGGACTCCCTGTGTGGAAACTCAAATGTCTATGGTGTCCCCACATTCAGCAAATATTCACTCCAGCCTTTGTGCCAACTAGACGCCAGCTCGAATGCATTAGATCAGCCATTTCTGGAGAACATCGATGGACCTATTGACACGGATCTTCTCCAGTCACTTTCAGAGGCGCAGTTGGACCTTGACCTGGAAACCAATCTCAAACAGACTTTTGAGCTGGGCACTTCAGAGCAACACAATGTTTTACAAAGTGCCGAGAACATCTGGTTAAGTGATTCCTTACAAAGCACCGCAGCGTCGTTACCGGAGTGCCACGCAGCCTTTTTAGAATCTGAGAAATCCAATTCTTCATGTAAAGAGACGGGACATTTCAGAGACAATCATTGTTCCTTGGAAAATAATTCTGCCACAGAATTGCTTAAATCTTTACAAAGTATGGAGGCAGTACAGGAAGATGCTGCTTTAGCATTAACAAATTGGCAAGAGGTTCCAAAAACCTTGCCAGTGTCTTTGGAATTGGTGTCAAATGAGGAGGGAATTCCAAATCAAGAAAAATCATCCGCAGAGGAGCCAGCCGCACCCTTAGGATCTCACGTTGACTCCTCAGAAGAGTGGCACGAGACTGGAAACGACTTTCAACCTTTTCCAGACGATACAGGGGATATTTTGGAAAGGGACAGTCCACAGATTGTTTGCGAATCATCGACACATCCAAAACCTTTACATACACAGGTAGAAGATACTTTTTCTCCTGCCACCTCGCTGGACAAAACTGAAGACCTCATCATTCTACCCGATACCTCCAGTTTGCCAAGCAGGAACAGCTCACTTTTAAAGATTACGGATGCAGTTTCTGAAGACTGCACGACGGGTTTGCGTTCGAACATTCGCCGGCAACCTCCCCGTAGAAGGAAATCTGCTTTGGAACCTCTCATTGACTTGACAGACGATCTTTGCATGGCGGATGTTCTGGAAGGGAACATCAACAGTAAAGTCTTGAATGGGAGTGCAAAAGCACTACAAACGACAAGTGGAAGAAAACTACCCAAACGTTCTGGCAAAGGGATGCGGCTAGAAGCTATTGTTATGAACATCAATTCGAGTCAATATAATGTGTCCGGATGCATACGAGCACGCAGGAAAAGTCCCAAAACAAAATTGGAAGAGGTTATGCCGCGGAAGAGCAACAGGCTTTCCAGAAATCATAAATGTAATGCTAAAAGCGAGAAACCTGAAGTCTCGCCAAGAAATATTCAGGCAAAAGCGAGTCACTCAAAGAAATCTACCTCAGACAATCATGAAGCACTACAAGCCGGTCCAGTGCAGTCAAAGCACAAATGTTCTCCGGGTAAAACTTTGTCAAATGCTAGCACTGGTGGCATTTCACCAATTACAGAGTTCCCTAAATGTCAGCTGAAAAGGCCAGGCAAAGCCAACCACAAGGCAAAGGCAAAAACGAAATGCACTTCTAAAAAGAAGCGCAAGAAAATTCCCATTGGTAACGCTTCCAGTATGTTTTCCCCCAAGGAGCCAGAAATCAAACTTAAGTACTTAAACTACAAAGAGGAGAAACGATCCCAGAAAACTGACCGCTTCTCGCCTTTTGTCCGGGTGCACCGCCAGCCGCAGGCCCCTTCGCTGTGCACCGTTCTGAGCAATCCCGAAGAGGTCAAGACCCCACGGAAATCCGGTCAAGCCTCTACGGAATACGCTTCGGTCAACGTTCCTGCTACGTCCTGCCTGCGTCTGGGGCGAGTGTCCATGCACGGAGCCCAGCAAAGAGCGCTCGTGTGCTGTCTGTGCAAGCAGGCCGCGAACGCCATGGACCTGGGCGATCTCCACGGGCCGTATTACTCCCAAGGCTATCAACCCCCGCCGAAAATTCCACACGACCAGTCTGGGCTGAAGGAAGGAGAGTCCAGTGATTCAGATTCATCGTCCTGTAGCGCCACCAAGTGGACGTCCATAAAGAGGCAGCTGAAGGTATAGATACACTTCTATTCATTCATTTCCCTTCAACTTGAGTCACCATGGGCGCTCCTTTAGGCTGACTGTTAATCTTTGTTAAACAAATGAGTACAGCCTGGAAGTTATACCTCTTTGTAAACTAAAGGATAGGTCGTCTGCTTAATTCTTTTTTTTATTCTTTCAGTCCATCTGAACAAATAATTGCTAGACTTTTTTAATTTTCTTTACTTAGAAATTGCATGTCTAGCTTAGCTACTGTGTTAATATTAACCCTAACCCTTTTAGCGGTACACAATTAAAAATTATTTAAGACAGACGGGCAAAAGCTGGAGATGCTGGTGCAGGTTAAAGACTACAAACTTGTGCTACAAAAATATATTAGACCGGAGAATTTTTTTTTTTTTTTTGGAATAAATATTAATTCTAAGTACAGTGGCTATCAAAACAATCAATGTATTTATTTCAAACCTGCACGAACATTTCTTTAGAATACTTCCTCTTGTAAAGCATATGCATGACAAGATAAAGGATCGAGACAATGACCCTTTAGCCTGAGTCTGAGCCCAAATTGAGACCACAGGACTTAATAAACCCTATTTTAGGAGAATTGAAACAAGACATGACTGTTTTGTCGTAAATACAAATATACCCTTTTCGTGCAACTCGTTGAACTACGTTAAGTTCTCACACTGCAATGTTATGGACAGCTGTTTTGTTATTAAACAAGTAGTATAATTTGTTTTTGGAATTTGTTTTGCAGGATATAATCTCTCACATCTGCCACGAGATGAGGGAGTGTTTCACAACTATACATGTTTATCCATATAATTAGGGGTGCAACGGTTTGAAAAAATCACGGTTCGGTTCGTACCTCGGTTCAGAGGCCACGGTTCGGTTCATTTTTTTGGTTCATTTTTCTAAAAAAAAGATTTGTCTTTTTAATAAACACAGCTCATGTGGACTCGGCACCTGCTCTGACTGCCCCCCCCCCCTGACTTAGAAATGAATTAAGGGGAAGGAAATGGATGGATGGATGGAAGGCATATTCCATCCATCCAATTATGTCTATTTAACATAATTAATGAAAAACAACACAAAGTGCAACATAAGAAGGCACTTTATGAGGATATTTACCCTCATATATTACACCACCTTCCTGATTCTCCCGAGGAGGGGGTCCATTCTGGGCCCAGCCTCATTCACTGCATTTATTTAATTTTTGGCATTATCAGTTGTGACTGGGATATTAGTACTGGGCCTTTGTCTTCCATTCCTCCGCTGCTTGTGTCAGAACCTGCGCTGTGTGACTGTGTGACTGTCGTAGAGGGGGCGTGTCTTCAGCGCCAGACTTTTCATCTCCCAGTCTGCGGTGATGAAGTGAGCGGTTCCGCTCATGGATCTATTATAGGTTCCGCGGGACGTCCAAGCGTCAGTCGTGAGCGCAGCTGAGGATGCGCGGGAGAGTTGACTTTAGCCCGGTCTGACTGTGCGTAAAGGAGCTGCTTAAATGCCGCGACAATAGGTGGTCGTTGAGACGCTTTTTTCACTCATGTCTTTCTTGTGCCACAGTGCTTACACATCGTGACAGTTTTGTCGAATATTAATCATCAGTGTAGTTACAGTTTTGAAAAAAAAATGAACCGAACCGTGGCCTCTGAACCGAGGTACGAACCGAACCGTGATTTTTTCAGCTTCCTCCTTCCTCCTCCGTCGAGCAAAGACGTGTCTTAGTCCGCTCCTGCTTCTGAACGGCTTGCTATCTCCTGTTTTTGTCTTTTTTCCTGGAGCTTTGCCACAGACAACTTTAACAGAATGGAAATGATTAATTGGTCCCTCAACGCAATTGATTCTATCTTTTCAACACGTAAGCGTGGGTCTGGAGAGCCCGTGTGTCCGGACGGGACCTCACCGGCGGGGTATACGCTTGACAGCTGGAACAAGTGGCAGCCCCTCTGTCTGTCGACCCTGTCCATTGAAGATTCGGAAGACGTATATATCTTTGGCATTTTGGTGGTGGGAATCCTCCTGTTTGGGTTTGGAGCGATCCTCTTCTACCACAAATTCGGAGGCATGGCAGTTCGCAAGATTCACGACCTGCTGGCCGATAAAATTGATGGGATGTACAAGGAGCTTAGCCGTGTCGTGGTTGAGAGTGCCGTGTCTGGACAAAGAAGGGTGGTTTTGGTGGAACAGTTGATCAAAGACCTCGCAGCTCGTTCACTTGATGGACATAAGACTTTGGAATTGAGATTGAATGACATTGTTTGTCAGGCTTGATCTCTCTGACCCGGCTTGGATTTGCCCCTGTGTACGGGGTCTGAGGGCGCCGCAATTCGGTTTAATTGGAATTAATAGAATATCTGCCTGCTTTTGACTGCGACATTGCAGGCGATGTGTTTTTCTCCTCCTGTGGCTTCTCTCCACTCTTATCTCACATTCCTCAGCCAAGGCCATAAACAAGGTCCCACAATCTACAACAACTCACACTACTTCAGTCTTCAGCAAGGATCCCCCACCCCCGCCTCCCTCTACCTATCCATCTTGCTCCCTCCCTCCCCTCCATTCCTTATTGTTTTCCTACTCACCCCCTCCCTGATCCCGCCCCCCTCTGACAGCTACATTGGGCCGGCCGAAGAGGTGCTCTTCCCGAGAAAAAAATCCGTGGTTTATAAAAAGCACAATGTGTCTATCCAATTGTCTGTGAACTGTATGTTATTGCTCTCTGCTGTTTCTTGCTGCACACAGCGCCGCAAATGGCGAAGTGGCACGCTCTCTGCCAAAACAATTTCCAAGTGATAACTTTGTTACTCACGTGGCAATAAAAATGATTCTGATTCTGATTCTGATTCTGACAGTGAAGCCAAAATGCTCTCATACTGGGGATTTAAATGACGCAGGGCTTTCAAGCATCTCTGTTCCTCCGCTCGCAATGACCGCACTGTGTGTGGACTAAACAACGTGCGCACAACTTTTTTTTCATAAATCAAACCGCGGATCACGTCTGTACCAAACCGAAGACGTTGAACCGAACGGATCACGGATCAGTGATGAACCGTTGCACCTCTACATATAATAATGTACTTAAATGAAGTGCTTTGATTATATACATTCTGAAACAGGAAATGCCAAGTTCAAGGATTGCGATCAGTTAAATGGCCAAATCGAGTGTTGTTAAATATTAGGCAAGACATGTTTATTTGTATAGCACAGTTCAAGCACAAGGAAACTCATTTTGCTTAAACAAACAAAATGGAGACAATCATACTAGACATTAAGATCATCATCACGGTACATTAACAAACAGCTGCTTTAAAGTCTATTCTCTGAGCCAGATTTCTGACCGGATTGGAAGATTTTTGAGAGACTGAAGGTGACAAATGACGCTCTCCTTATGTTTCTGGGGTCCAAAGACAGTCATTTCAGTTGTGTCTGCGTTTAGCTGTAAAAAGCAGTTTTGCTTCCACTCACTGATCTGTTGGGTGCAGTGGAGTTGAGTCCACTGGTCCATGTTCTGCAGTCAGTGAGACATAGATCTGAGTGTCGTCTGCATAGTTGTGATAGGACACATAGGTTCGTTAATACATAGAAACAAACAGCAGCATGTAGAGATTGAGCAGGCGAGGTCCCAGGGTCGACTGTCTTAACTAAGTATTTCTGGTTTTCTAGAAAATACTTAGTGTTCTTTCCTTTTTTATTTGTTCTTTATAAGTTCAGGTTTACAGTGGTTGTCAAAGGGTTGTTTGTCAAAAGGTGAAAATTAAATGTGAGAATTGCATTTTCTTATGTTGAGTACTTTTATGCTATCATCTTTAAAGGGCCCATATCACGGTTTTTGACTTTTCTCTGCTTTAAACATGATTGCAATGCTATTTGGCCTTCATACATAAGGCCACAGTAGTTTATTCATTGATTCTGTCAATCTTTTGTAAGAGAACAATCTGTCTCCTTCCCCAGCGTGAGGCACAGAAACGCTCGGGTCCACTTCAGTGACGAAAACCACACTGATGACGCGCATGACCCCGTTTGCTTTGTATTTAAAATAGTTGTTAAATACTTTTGTCAAAACGGGGTAAACAATACACAATTAGTATGCTGTTTTTGTCAAAAATAATAAAAATAAAAATAAATTAAAAGCCGGCGGGAGGTGATTGACGGATCAAAACAGCGAATCAGAGCGCACAGGCTCCGGCTCCCGAGTCCAGCGTCTGTGGTCTGGTCTCGCGGACACCACATAGAGCTGCTGTTTTTATGCTTTTGTCAGCAACTAAAAGTGTTAGGATCACGTCAACTTGAATGAAGTGTGTTATGGGTGTAAATATGTGACCCACTATTTGGCCCTAAGAGGAAGAAAGCGGCTCGACTTTTTTCATCTGTTCATCTCATGGATCTATTATAATACCGGTTCATCTGCGACACTTCACTGAGACTGTTCCAGAACTACAGGGACAATGGAACTGGACTTACTCAAAGGCTGATCTGGAAACACGTTATTCCCACGGTAAAAGACGTAACTCGGACCCCCTCGATCTGTAAGTAGTGACGCTAACTCGCTGTATACTTCTGTAAACTAAATAACTAGGGTCTGATTGTGCATCGAGGACATAGGGCTCGATGTGACGGATTGTCATTGTTGGAAAAAGTGTATTCTTATGTATGAAATTACTAAGTACAGGTGATAAACGACAAAAGCGTGATGCTACGTCAGCGTGCGGGCGGGGGGAGGCGGGCTCACAGGCAGAGGAGCAGACTCTGGATCAGCTCGTTTGAGTCGAGGTGACGTCACCTCTATACAAGAGATGGCTCTAATCTCACAAGCTTTGATTGTTGTGTGGTGTATCATACACATTAATATCACACATGTGCATAGGATTGAGTGTGAAACATGAAGAAAAGCGTGATATAGGACCTTTAATGTGTGAAAGCTTGTGATGCTAATGCTAATGCTGTCCTTGTGCTCCCAGTGGAAGGCAGCAGAGGGCAGCAGTCACGTGGTAAAGCGTGCCAGGGCAGAGGTGGACTGGTACACCCCCCCCATCCTGCCCCTGGACCCCTGCGAGTACTGGCTCCACGAGGACTGTGGGGTATGGGCCACTGGGGTCTTCCTGATCCGGGGTCGGCTCTACGGGCTGGAGGAGGCGGTGAAGGCGGCGCACAATGCGGTAAACTCCCAACCTAAATATCAAAGGCTTGGAATCTCTTACTAAAATGTTTGGACACCCCTGTATGTGTATAGTCGTGGTGTGTCTGGGGCCTCTCCGGGCTCTTGTCTAAAGCCTGTGTGTGTTTGTAGGAGTGCTGTGCGTGTGGGGGCCCTGGGGCCTCTCTGGGCTGTCTGTCTAAAGCCTGCCCCAGCAAGTACCACTACAGGTGTGCGCTGCGCTCAGGTGATGCTGCTCTTCTTCACTCACACTTCAAAACATGTTTGAAAGACAACATTTATCACTAAAGCTTTGATTATAATTCTGTCGTCTTAATTAATCAGGTCATTCCGGTAATTATTTAAACTTCTGTCAACGATGTTTGTGATCCGATCTCGTATAGTTTCAGGGCTCCTCTAGAGTAAAACTACAGAGATTAGAGGTTCACAGACCCATTCAGGGCAAAAATATTGTCTCCAGATTCTTTTGTGCGATGTTTTTCTGCACGTCTTACACAACTGGTGCGAGGGCTTCTAACATGTGTGTGTGCGTCTCTGTCTGTGTGTGTGTGTGTGTGTGGGTGGTTGCAGACTGCGCTCTGGACCAGGACAACTTCTCCATGAGGTGTAGGAAGCACAAGGTGAGCTCCAGCTGCTCCTGACCTTCGCACGGCACAGTCTGAACTCTGTCTCTCCCACAGAACGTGTCCATGAGGGGCCTTACGAGCAGACGGCTGGAGCCCAGCTGACCGCTGCAGGTGTGTGCGCTCGCATACACACCCTCACATCCGGGCATTTCAACCACGGCTGTTGTCTCTGATGGGACAAAGGGACTGAGGCCAGGAAACGTAGAACACAGGGCTTTAAAGGGAAATGTATGAGACGCACACTTTGAATAGTTCAGTTCAGCTTGTTTATTTCATCTCAGAGCAACATAGCAACATTTGATATAAAAAGTCTGTGGGGGTTTTTTTTACGCGCTATATAGAGCTCAAAAGGAGTCAGCTGAAGTTGAAAAAAATGCTTATAAACGTCTACCCCTTCGTTGCATAATTAAATTACACACAACGTACATTACGTCATACATTTCCTAAGTACCTAACTTAAAGAAGTGCATGGATACATTTCAGAAGAACTGAAGAATACAGAAATATACTTCAAAATGACCCGAGTAACAGTAACAAGAGTAAAGCACAGCATGTACAGACATTTCTCAAGTGCCAGTTATTTTCCAGTGCAGTCATGTTTACGTTGATTCTTCTTCAATGGAATATTAGTTAAGGACACTTATCGTAAATAATCTTTTAAAGTTGGGAAACGTTTTGATACTTTTTAGTCCATTTCACCACAGTGAAATTAACTCCATCCATTACATTTGATCAGATTCAACTTTATTGTCATTACAAAGTCAGAACAATGCAACAAAATGCAGTGTACCATCCTGCACACAAACCAATTTTACAGACCAAGGTCACCCAAAGCGCTTTACAATGTTCAAAAATCAGATTTTTTCCATTCACACTTGGTGATGACTGAAGCGAGACGCTGAACACACGGGAGCATCAAAGCCCCCAACCAACACCATCCATTCATTACATTCATTCCTATTGTACAGGTTTTTAGTCTTTGGGTAAACCAGAGCACACGGAGGAAACCTACGCAGGCACGGGGAGAATATGTAAAAGTCCCTGTTCCGACCCTGATTTGAACCCCGGACCTTCTTGCTGAGATTTTTATATATATATATATATATAATATAATATAATTAGTGCTGTCCAAAATATCGCGTTAACGCAAATCAATATTAACGGCGTCATTTTTTTATCGCGCTATTATTATTTTTTTACTTTTTATTGCAGACAAACACATATACAGAAAAAAAATAGAAACAAAGAAAAGGACTAGTTCAGATACATTGTAGACAGAGATTACAAACAATATGTAGTTGGAGATACAGGGGGCCAAAGAAGAAACCCAGAAGGGCACATAGAAGTGTTGTGCGTGAACGAGTTCAAAAGAACGCGTTCATTGAACACGCTCATTTTTTTGTGAACATTGAACTGAACGCAATACATTTTTAAAAAAAGAACTTGAACGTGAATTACTTCATTTTATGTGTCATGAACGGCAGACATCACTATGAACGTTGGAATCTGTTTTCTCTTTTGAAATGCAACGAGAGAAAGTTCCTCCCTCCTGTATTCTCGCACTTTTTCCGCCGAAATCTAAAAATTCCTACGGTTTCCACCGTCTGTGAACACACCCCGACTCCGTGTTGCGGTGCGGCGCTGTGAGCTGGTGCTTTTCACATGTGCCCGAGTCGTGCTGAAAACACAGGGTGAGTTAGCGACAAAATTTACACCGTTTACATTTGACACAAAGTATAGACACACGCACTGCAGCGCATTACTGTCTCTAGTTTATGAGCAGAGATGGAGCAACTCCGTTTGGCTCCCATTGAAAACCATGTAAATCTTGTCTGTTTTGTAGTCAAAAGGCTCTCCTCCTGTGGGTGTACAGGAGATATATATATATATATAATATATATATATATCTATATCTATCTCTCTATCAGGGATTAAAGAGTTCCGTCTAGGTGACGGATTTCCGTCAAATGAAATTGGTCTGGAAAAAAAAAATATATATATATTATGATAATACACACAATGAAATGATTGATTATAAAAATAATACATAGTAATACATATACGTGTGAATCTGTTATATATATATATATATATATCGATGTATAATAATAATTTGAATATAATTGTATTTATATGTATATAGAAATAATAAGTAATATAATCACGAGTGGGCCTTGAACGTGCCGTGGCCACATGAGCGCTCCGCAAATGAATCAAGGCAATGGGACGTAGCTGAGCTCACGCGCAAATGAAGACGCGATGAAGTTAGCATTGGTAACACGGAGGTGAAAGTTTCTGGAAACTGCACGGAGCTTTTGAAAAGGAGAAGAGGAGGAAAATTGAATAACAGCAGCAGATCCGCGGACTGGTAAGCTGGGTGCGTAATAGACGAAAGGTAATTAACGTTTACCAAACGCAATGCTATTTTACTTAACGGAATGTACAAAACGGACTTTGCTGCGACTGGGAATGGGGACAAACATGTCTTGGTGAGCTTTTGATATTGTCTTGTTTGCAATCTTCTTGCAAAACTCAGCGTGATGTAAAAGAGCCAATCAACGAGTCATGGTGCGAAAAGATGAAAGTGGCCGGTGCCTGTGCGTACTTTGCCATAAAAAATTGCATATATGGGAATAATGAGAAAAAAGTTTTGTTTCGCCACCAGCTCAAAACTGCGCACAAGGCAGCTGTTTGTGCACTTTCCCACACTTCATCTTTACCTGGTGCATCAGCAACAACTGACACTAGGCTTGCTCTGGCAGACCGTGTCTGTGGCTTTATCGCAGAAAATAACGTTCAGAATATCACTACCGCTGGTAGATTTATTTAAATCATTTGCAGTTGATCGAAGTGCACTGTGCACTCAAACTTGATAGGGAAACCTTTTTCTTAAATATTGACGTGTCCACAAACAAATTTGGACAGAATTTTCTCGTCCTTTTGCGATATTTTGACGAGGACAGAGCCAAAGTGTTGACACTCCATATCGCCTCAAGTAAAGCTACTCACTAATATTCTGTCAAAAAGTTGACTCGTTGAAATATAAGCTTGCTTATATTTCATATCAAAATACACTGTATATCTTTGAAGAATTCATTCGAGCTGTATTCAATATACAATCTATTATACAATAATATATTGTAATTAAAAATATAACTTGGTCCTGCATATTACTGTGATTTACATGTGATAAATTTCCACGCAAAAATTTTCAGTCATCTTTTTTTTTTTTGCTTTAACCCCTTTATATATATATATATATATATATATATATATATATATATATATATATATATATATATATATATATATATATATATATATATATATATATATATATATATATATATATATATATATATATATATATATTATATATTATATAGCGCTCGTAGTGTGAAAAAAATATGTATTTATCTCCCAAAAAAAGTAAACTGAACTTTGAACTAGTTCAGAATTAAAAATGTGAACTTTGAAAGTGTTCTATTCACTTTGAGCATGTATGAACTGAACTTGAACTAGTTCAGAAAAGCTGTGAACTGGCACAACACATAGGAGGGGAGGGGGGACATGAAGTGGGAGATGGGGGGGAGGGGTTAATAAAAAAGGCAATACAAGCAAACAGTATACAGTCATAGATATACCGAAAGTAAACAGAGAAACAGCATAGAGTATTTACATGAACAAATTTAGAAAATATTTACAGATTGTTTATCATCATAATGATGTTTCTATACAGTCTATGGTCTATACCCACACATACACGCACACACCCACACACACACACCCACACAAATGTATGGGAGAGACTGCACAGAGAGACAGTGCTGAGATAAACATACGTTGCATTACATCAAGGCACATTAAACATCTGTCCAAGAGCTTCCACATCTGGAGACCGGCCCCTGCTGCTCCTCAAGTCACTTTGCAGCAAAAGTTGGATGCAGAGGACTAGGGCTGCACGATATTGGAAATTAGTGCGATATTCGATATGAGTGTTTAGTATTGCGATAACGATATTATTGCATTATTTTTGTCTTTCACCTGAAATTGCAATCCGCATTGAAACGAAAGAGACAAATAACAAAAAATTAGCACAACATTAATGACATTCAAATACATATATTCACTTTTTTGTTTGTTGTTGTTATTGAATTTTGATGTCTGTTTTTGTTGTCTTTAATAAAGTAAAAGAAATATGGATATTGCATGGATCAATATTGTGACAATATTTTTTCAATATATCGTGCACCCCTACAGAGGACAGTTCCAAACAGAATATCAGAGCAAATCACTTGAATGAAAGTCATCTGATCCTGACGGAGGAACGCAGAAAGCATCCAATCCACTTTCATAAACTGTTTCCAAAAGTGCTTCACTGGAAAATGCTAACCATGGTGTTCATAAGTCACATGAATGTATAATGAAAGAACTATGAAATAACTATTTAAAAAGCAATACAATTATAAAATAAAAGCAACAAACTATAAATAAAAACCTGCTACTATATGTAATCGAATAAAACTAAATTAAAGGGGACCTACAACTCCGTAAAGAGCCAGAGAATACATGCGAGTCCTAAAGCGAGACTACAACACTCCTTGACCTAGGGGCCCCTGTCTCCTCTTGGGCACCGTAAACCAGAGACCCTTTGTCCCATTGTCTGTTTCATGGTACGATGACGGGACCTCTGAGCCTGGCCTCCTCCATCTACACCTGTGGACTGCCCTGCCCGACCCGCCTGGGAGTGTCTAGTCCTGCACCGCACCTGTCCACGTTCTGTAGCTAGCTTAGGTCCTAGATCATTAGCCTGTCCGTCCGGAGGAGCCGATCCCTTTCTCAAATGGGTCTCCCTCCCTGTGGGTTTCCCTAGGTCTCCCCAAGGTTTCTCACTTTTTTCCTTGTCGATGCAGGAGGGTCTTGTTGGACAGTTAGTGTCCAACAGAAAGGATTGGTGATGATCAGGACACTTTAGCATTCTACAACATGTATGGACATTTTCTTCTGTGTGTGCTTTATATTTTTCATGTGTTTTAACTGTTGATTCTCTGACCTGTGTTGGTGATTTTTATGGTTTTGTTAAGTCCTCTGAGATGACTTTT